ACTGGATGACAGATTTATTGCCCAACAATGTAAGAAATGCAAACACACACACTTAAACAAACACATAGAAAATAGCGCCAGAGCAGCATATGCGAGGTACAACATAATCAAACACACATATACTCCTTCACTTGTTTACTTATCATCTTATTCAATATTTAGAGTTATGGTTTTAACTGCATTTGTGAGTCTGTGTGTGCCTGTTTTTGCCTGCCGGGGTTGTGTGTGTTGATGTGTGTTCATTCCTTTAAGTGTGTTAGTGGGCGAGTCTGCAGGTCGTTGTCGCAGTGGTTGTTATCCCATTAATTCTTGTTTGTAGGCACGTGTGCTGAAATGCATTTGTACCGAGTAACAAATGTGGCCGCTGTGAACACTGACATGAATTCATTATCTTCAGCACTTCTCAGTCCTGACCACAGAGGTCAGCAGTAATTGATTGCTTTAGAAAGCGGGCTGAATGGAGCATCGTGAATATTTCAAGAGTTTTTTGTCCTCTTATCATTAGATGATTTAATTTTACAGTTTTTATTCAGAGCCCTTTCTTCATTTGCGTATTGTTATAAATACTTGGAACAGGTCTTTGTTTTGCCAATTATAATCTGTGGATAGGCAAGTCACATCTAAGATACCAGAATAAAATAATATCCCCAGACACAGTATTTGCAATGCTAATGTGTTGTTTCTCATGTACAGTATTCACTTGATATTTCTCCTGTCATTCCTGGTGATATTGAGTGTTGAAGTGGCGTCAGGCTCAGATATATTTGCTTATTTTTCATCTGCACGGAGTCATGTTGTGACCTTGGCCTCTGACCGTGTAGTTATGTCTGTCTGACACATGACAGAAGCTGACAGAAGAGAAATACGAGGTCACGAGCTCCTTGCCCGAGGCGGCCATATTGGTACGAACTACAACCGAGCCCAAACTCACACTGACCATCACCCTGACCTCGCCGACCATGAGGGATGACGAGGAGGAAGAGGAGGAGGAAGAGTTGGAGAATGGGGAGGAAGGACATGAGGAGGAAGAGGCGGAGGAGGAGAAGAAGGAGGAAGTGGAGGATGAAAAGGTGGAGGAGGAAGAGGAGGAGGAGAAGAAGAACGGGCGAGGTAGGAACTCATCAGTTGTAGTTTTTCCCTCTATTTTTAACACACATCCCACTTTGTATAATATTTATATAGAACTGTTTTTATTTCAAGCCAACCAAAGGCATGCCCTCTTTAACTTCTGCTGACACAAGACAGCTACAGGACACATTCCAGAGCTGAAGCCTGGTGTTCAGTCTAATGACCATCCCCCCCCCACACGTTGTCAGGGGTAGCAGGAGCTGATTATAATTGGTTGTGGGAGGTGGGACGGCGAGGCAAGGCCAGAGAAATCAATAACGGAGCAGTAGCAAGCTGCCCATGCATCCTGTGGCTCCCGTCCAACTAGACACTCAGGTCTCAGAGAGATAGAGCTGAGGTCAGCCGTACGTCATGCCACGCGCCAAGGCAAGACGGAGAGGACCGCTCGTATTTTTCTCTTTAAGAGGCATGCACACGCAACACACGGAGCACAAGACACTTTAATTGTGTCCCAGAGGGATAAAGATACCTGTCACACTGGATGTCTAATTGCTACTCATTTGTCAAGGCACCTGTAGCGGTTAAGGGATGTGAGCCAATATGACTAATAGGGTCTCATCATTAATGGCAGGGTCTATCACCTTAACACATTAACACATGTATTGATAGTCAGATACACCAGTGGTGTTGTCCAATGTCTCACCACCTCCTGCTCTCTTAAAGCATCAACAGCAATGTATTATGTACACAATGTATTTTTTCTGTAAGGCATTTCATATATTTAATTAAAACAGTGCTTGGTTATGTTTATCTGCCACACAAATCAGTCACCCTGTATATCATGGGTACTGTGTTTGATTTGATACATAGTTGAATATTTGCTTTAAATATAAGTTATTTAATCCCTGCGTGCTCTTTAAACTCAGATACAGCTCGCTTCTTTGGGTGGTCACAGAAAGCGGGAGGTAGGGTGATGTGACAGTAAATTCAAGGAGACACAGCAGCAAAGGGATATTTTTCCAGTCAGTCTGAGGGAGAGGATGACGTCAGTAACACAGAAGGAGATAAAAAAAAGAGCGCTAAGTGAGGCAGCGGCCGGCAGATCGTTTGAGAGAGCAGCGGGAGGACAAGCAAGCGAGACGAGAAAGGCTGTAATGATCCACTAGCTGCAGAGCAATCCCAAATGCAGCTGGGATCACTGACAGACCTTGAGATACACCATTTTACATCACAACGTAACACGAATGCACACACCACTGCATTCATAACACATAGGGGAAGAGCTACGCTGTGATAATGGCCATATGAGTCCAGGGATAATGTGAAATAGATGTCATCTTGCTCGTGCTACTACACATCTGACATTTCAACGTAATACCTCTTTAGGGAAGGATTGTCTTTTCACGGGAAAGTGATGAGGAACATATTGACCTAGTTGTGTTTTCAGAGAGACCCATAGGGCTCTTTAGTGTGTTTTATGTCACTAGCAGTAGGTCCCGCTCACGATAAACCCTCTCCAGAAACACCATGTAACCACACTCATTCATACACGGCTGCATTTGATTCAGCTCGCCTTGCACACCATAGATTTTGTGTTGACTTGGAGAATTGGAGAGAGCGTGGTAACTCAACCGTCCTGGCGTGCTCGGCGGCATGAATCAAACGCATACATATAAAAAGTGCAATAATGCTCCTTTTTTACCAACCACGATTCTCTGACTAAACCCTTGCCTTGATCCTTCCTCTGTGTTGTGTTTGTCTGACACTGGGTCAAACTATCTTAGATTTTTATTTTTTCCTTTTAGTTCTACTTTAGAAATGCTTGATTCTTCATTTACCCAGACAGGGAGTTGAATTGCTTTCTCTGCACCATTTCTATATGAGCCTGTGAAATCAGGTGCACCTTAAGTAATCCAGAAGAAAAAATAAAAACTCCTATTTTGACTCCTGCCTGGTGCAGACTGGATCAAAATAAACGAAATCCTCCTCAAATACGTAAAGGAGAGGTTGATTTACCTTGCTGGGCACAGCCAAATGAATGGATGTGTCCCAACAATGCCCTCACATTAAATCAAACACTCCTTAAGTATATGTCTGGGGGGGGGGGCTTTCCATCTCACAAAGTTGTCTCTTCTCTTGTAACCCTGGTTGCTGACTTGTCAGTGACTGGATGGTTGTAAACTACTAAATCACGGTTTAATAGTGCGTGTAATTGTTAGCACATATTCATACAAGCAACCTGTATTAATATGGGTTAAGATGTCAACATGTGATGCAGTCAACACTAATAGACTGATCACAGTGTTGAAACACCACCTGTAGAGAGACAGCGCTTCTTTCTACAAGGAGAGGAACAACTTTATGGCATGAAAAGCACCTTGTATGTACCAACAAAAATATCCATGCATTTGTATGTGTATGTTTGCTCTCACACACAATTCCAAGTGTGTCTGCACACATTCACACACGCACAGTTCAAACACACACACTCAGACCTGACGTGTGTGTGTTTCACGTTCTCTATATCGGGTTGTTATTGTTTTGTGGCAGTGTTGGGTGCTGCTGCGCAGAGAGTGGAGGCTGAGGAGGAGGAGGGGGAGGTGCTGGATAGACACAGATGTCTGTTGGCCCTGGCAGCGCTGCGACACGCCAAGTGGTTCCAGGTCGGCACCCACTCACTTCCTGTCTTCCTGCCCGGTGCTTATTGTAGCCTGACGATTCACCCAGAGGCCAGACACTCACTGTCAGATAACGCTGTGGGGCTTTATTTATGCTCACACAGATTAAGTTAATCCACAATAGATAGGAGGGTGACACAATTAGATAGAATAATTGCAAATGATGTTCAACATGAACAAAAAGGGATAAATATTACATCATTACACTATATTTCAAATTCTCCAAATCTGTATTTTTTCCACATATATAGACTATAGGTGTTAGATGAATCGTAAGGCTACAAAAGCAATGGTTGATACTTGTTTTTCTTTTTGGCTATTATGTGAACCTGCCTGCTCTGTACAGTATGTCAATGCTTCCCTTTGATTCCCCTCCCATACCCTTCCCCATATATCTCCCACCTCACTTACCTTACTGACAACATTGTAGTTCAGAATTAAGGTATTTTCTAAAGGTAAAGACCAAACCAATATTATTATTTCCAGTGATTTAATTTCATAACGTTAAGTGTCTTAAAAGTGGGATAGTTATTCTCTGTGGGGTTTTAGACGGATATAATCACTTCATTATGTGTTGTGTACAGCAGGCTGTTTATCTAACTGTGTTTGCACAAATACCCCTCCTCCTGTACTCAATTTCCTTCTTCTCCCCCCCCCCTCCATCTCCTCGGTCGCTCTCAGGCTCGAGTGAACGGGCTCAAGTCCTGCGTTATCGTTCTCAGGATACTTAGAGACATGTGCAATAGACACTCCATCTGGGAACCTCTCAAGGGATGGGTGAGTGTTTGCTGTAATGACCTGTTCAGCCCTCTTGAACTTTAATACACTTGTATGCTGACATTTGTGCATTTTGTGCGTTTTTCCAAAATGTTACTCATCTTCCTACTCTAATGCGAGGTCCATATTGTTACTGGAATTTTAAGAATTGTGCCCACAATCATCTATAGTTGAACTGGTTGGCTCATACAAGTATATCGTCCAGTGTACACTATATAACAGATCCTCATTATGATCTCTAGATGTGATGTTAATCTTGCAAAAAAAGTATGTTAAGTGAGAAAACGTGGATCCAACATTTAATAGATAAGATAAGATGGAACTTTATGTATCCCTGTGGGGAAATGTGGGCGTTTATAGCAGCAACAGGGTCAGAGAATAACAGTATTCACCCAAGGTAAAACATAAAGCTAAAATAGAATACAATAATAATAAAGAAATACAAAATAAAGTAACTGTTGAAACAAAAATATCACAGTAAGCAACAGATAGAGATTTTTCTTAGATATAAGTGTCAGTCAACACGCCCCATGTTTTATCACATATTACAATAATTGTTATTTTTTAGAGCTGCTTTTTCATATTTGTGTTTGTGTGTGTATTCCTGCAGCCCTTAGAGCTTATCTGCGAGAAGGCAATCGCCACCTGCAACAGACCTCTGGGGGCCGGAGAAGCCCTGCGTCGAGTCATGGAGTGTGTGGCCTCAGGCATACTGCTACCAGGTATGGAGCCTAGTGGATGCATGCATATACAGATGGGCAGATTAGAGCAATCCCCACTGAAGAATGTGGGGTTTTATGCAAATTGGCCTCGCTGGTGGATATCACAAGGGACGATGAGCTGATACGTGGAGGCTCTGCTTGGCACATTTTAGAGCTGCTTCTGTGAGAGGTCGAGACATCATCAATGACCCAGTAGAGCGCAGCTGTCTGAGGAAGGTCATCATTACATGAGCCTTTTAATTAGGAGCAGCTGAAGGGGTTTCTGTTACCAAATGTTGTGCATCTTTGGCAGGAATTCAATTATTCAGAAGTACGTGAAGTTTCATTTGACTTAATTTGAGAGATGTGGAGGCAAACGCAAGTTATGTCCCACCAGACTGAAGCCAACTTAAGAAAGCACTGAGATGTCTTTTAGAATATGTTAAAAGATAAATAAGCGGTATTTTAGAATGATTAACAAAATGCAAAAAAAGAAACAGCTCTAGTTTATTTTACAAAGAATGTGCCAACTAGTAGTAGAATATTTATTCAAATTTCTGTCACACTTAAAGTTTGAAGGGTTTCACCTTTTTATGTTAAGTGACTGGTTTGAATACATCACAGGCAAGATGACCAGGTACATTTTCCTATAGCTCCTGTTGTTGTCCACTTTAATTGTCAAGATTCCTGTCGTCACTTGTTTAATGACAGTGAAGTGAAGCTTAATGAAATGTCGCCGAGCTGCAGTGAGAGAGCGCAAAGTGACAGAGCGCAAAGTGACAACAACTGACTTTGTGTTCCTGTCGCTTTCCCTAGGTGGTCCAGGTTTACACGACCCGTGTGAGAAAGAGCCAACAAACACACTAACCAACATGACAGACCAGCAGGCTGAGGCCATTACCTACCGTGCACAGGTATACACACACACACACACACACACACACACACACACACACACACACACACACCACACACACACCACACACACACACATACACACTTCCGCTTGAAGACACAGTTGTTATCACCCAGCTGCATTTGCCTTGAGCTGTCAGTTTGTGGGAATCAGTAAGCAACATGCCTATTACCAGACAGAAAGACCCACCACCACCCAAACCACTCAAAACGCATGCACACACACACACTTGTTCGAGCGTGCACGTCTTCAGAGCTGTGTGGTGCTGAATTTTAATGATCGTGTGGGAAACTATTGCCATTGCTAGCCATAAATCCATCCCTGACACCCCGAGGACAGAATTTGTGTGCATGCACTTCGGGCGTGCGTGCGTGCCTCCATGTCCTTCCTCACACACACACTCCACTGAGCAGGGCAGCCTCTGAGCCGCATGGCTTAGTGAATCCTGCCGTCCATTTCCTTTGAAGGCAGCCTGAACGAGGCTTGAATGTCAATGGGGATAATTGTATCGGAGCAGATACAAGAGTAGATAGAGGAGAGGGAGTTGCTCCGTCAATGAGCTGCGTGGAGACTCATGAATATCTGAGACATTCCACCTCCCTAATGGCTTTGTATTAGCAGAGCCACTGTCGCCCATTCTGCGTGTCCTTCCGATTGTTTGTATAAATTGAGTATGTGTAAAGTAGATTCGAGAATGATAAATGAACTATCTTTGAGCACAAATGTGATGGTCTGTGTTGCAAGATAGCTCAAGGTGGATTGTATACACGTATATTAATGCAATTATCTGACAGATTCGGAGCACATTTACAGACATTCATATTTGCACAACTGCTTCTGTGTTCAGACATGGCCTTCTTACATTTGCGAAGATGAATATCAGCCTGAAGACTCTTGATGTCTTGTCTGTTTTTCAACCAGAATGTAAAAACTCCTGCTTTATCGGCTTTATTTTATTAGCACTTGAAGTTCCTACAGAACTAACCATTTATCTCAATAAGACGGCTGTAGAAGTTGATTATTTGACTGTTTGTCTGTACAAAGCTTATATTGTGGATACATGGAGAAAACTACTGGGCATTTACTCATCATTGGTCTGTATCATCATGACTCAAATTTAAAGGGAGGAAAATGTTTTCAATGTATTTAATTCCATTCCATTTAAAGGGCAAACCCAACGTTTTTTTTTTCTCGAAAACTGGAGGTCTGTTGTTGTTAAAAAGTTAAATTATGGGAAATCAAGTAAGTGGTAGAATTCCTCTGGTTTGAATGTATCTTCCCTATATGTTGCCTTTTACAGCATGCCCTGAGACTCATGGCATTCGGACAGATCTACAAGGTGTTGGAAATGGACCCTCTTCCCTCAAATAAACCATCACATAAATACCCTTGGTCAGACAAAGAAGGTATGTCCACCTGCCTGTAAATCTGTTTGTGTAAATGGCTTGTCAGTCTGTTGTTCTCACATGAAAACTATAGCATACTATGAACATAGATTGGACTTGCCATCAAATCTTTTCACGTATCACATGAGCTTTCTGGATGCGTTTGATTGTTTTACACACTCGCATCCTAGCAGCACTGTCAGTATTCTTGACATGTGAAGCACCGCAAAAAACGAGGTATTGCAGATATTGCCTCTTTATTTCCCATCTTTCAGCGTGTTAGCCAAAACATGCCTAGCCTTGGTGAAAATACATGAAAATGTGCAACAAGAGAACGTTGGCACATTTTTTAAGCCTTTTCAAAGAGAATTGACTCGAGACTTTTGGCGCCTAATGATGCCAATATGTTTATATGTCTTTGTCATTGTTGACTGTTGCTGGTCTGCATGTCTATTCTGTTGATCTTGTCTGTGAGTTTATTCATCTTTATTCTTCTTTTCACATATTCTTTGTCTTCTCTGCCTCTGTGTGTTTTCTCATGCAAACGTCTCTTGTAGTAACTCATTGATTGGTAACTTCCTCCATCTTTCTCTCCAGGTTTAGGTTTGAAAAGGCCGTATGAGGATGGAGCGATGGATGACAAAGACCTCATCAAGAAGATGAAGAGGAATCTAAGAAAAGGTACGAGAAGTAGGAAAGGACGAGCAATTGTGTAATTACTTTCTTGTGCGTCTTTCTTTTAGTCCCCAATTATTTTGAAGTGTGAAGGAAAGTATGCATTTCAAGAAATTAACAACAAAATAAATCCCATTATACAAAAGTTTAATTTAGCATTGGATTGTATTTATTTGAATTCAATCTGATAAACAAAGCAGTGCCATGAGATGTAAGTAATCATATTCCGTAACCACAGACAAGCTTTGCTTCTCTTCCCCGTCTCAATATTTTCCCTGTCTGCTTTTCTGCCTTCCACCTTCCTCCTATCCCTTAGATCAATAGTATTGATTTCAAACGTTTTAGTAGGCCACCCAACCGTCCCCAGATCTTTTTTCATACAAGGAGAAGACGAATCAAGGCTAATGGAGACAGAGAGGCATTTTTAGATATTGGCAAAGTGGAGCAAAGTGATTGAAAAGGAGAGAAAATAGAGGAGAGAAAAATAGAGAGGGACCTTTTATTCATCGTAAAAACAACCGACGAGTGTGCGGGAAACCTTTGAGAAAATGTGATTTATTGGGTACAGTGTCCCTGAATTGGGCCAGTCTGTCCAATTAGGGCTGGATAATCAGTACATCCCCTGTGAAATAAATCTATCCTAATATGCCCTACTTGTAACCATTCCTCTCAATTTTGTTTACATTAGTCCTAGACAGTAAAGCCATAGACTCCAACCAGCCTATGAACGCCCTGATGCGGTTGAACCAGATCCGGCCGGGGCTGCAGTACCGCCTGCTGTCCCAGTCGGGCCCGGTTCACGCTCCAGTCTTCACCATGTCCGTGGACCTCGATGGAACCGTTCACGAAGCCTCTGGATCCTCCAAGAAGACCGCCAAGCTGCACGTTGCTGTCAAGGTAAGAGGGGAAATGAGGGAAGAGGATAAAGTGTGCCAGATATATGTGCGGCTGACAGGAGAAGAACATCCCCTCTGATGTATGTTTGTGCTTATTTAGACCTACTGTTAAAGGTCACCTATTATGCTAAATCCACTTTTTCATGTCTTTTATACATAAGCATGCGTCCCCTCTGTGTAAAGAGATTCTGGAAGTTTCAGGAACAAAGATTCGTTCTCTTTTTGTCCTGATCCATTTATATAAAACCTGTCTGAAAATGAGCTGATCAGCTTTCGGCCACTTTATGATGTCATAAAGATGTTTTGGCTTCTGTAACCACTAACCCTAACCAACTAAGGTACCCCCCCCCCCCCCCCCCCCCCCCCCCCCCCTCCACCTTATCACCTGAATCTCCTCCTAGAGCACCATTGTGTTCTTTTTAACCAAATATCTCACAGAGGGGCGTGGGGAGGGGCTCCTTATTTTTCATCTAAAGTAACAGACACAGAATCAGCACTTTTGAAACAGGGCTGAAACAGAGGGGATTATGGGATGCTACAATGATCTGTTTGGTATTTGGAGCCAAACACTTCAGAGACATGTTTTGTATATATCTGAGACCTGTTATATATTGATGAAAAACAGTACAATAGGAGACCTTTAATGGAAAAAAGCTAAATGACAAAACTCTTGCAGCCAAACCTGTACATCTATAAACATGTTTCTGTGTGTGTGTGTGTGTGTGTGTGTGTGGGTGTGTGTGTGTGTGTGTGTGTGTGTGTGTGGTGTGTGTGTGTGTGTGTGTGTGTGTGTGTGTGTGTGTGTGTGTGTGTGTGTGTGTGTGTGTGTGTGTGTGTGTGTGTGTGTGTGTGTGTGTGTGTGTGTGTGTGTGGTGTGTGTGTGTGTGTGTGTGTGTGTGTGTGTGTGTGTGTGTGTGTGTGTGTGTGGCGGTGGGCAAATCCATGTATCCCAAAGTGGTTGTGACCAAAGAGGCTCTCCAGAGCACAGAGCCAGGATAATCCTCTCTCCGCTCCATTCCCATAAAAGGCTCTTTCTCCCCTTTTCCATTCTCCTTCTCACTCACTCACGTTCTTTCTCTAGTGTGTTCACCTTTTGATCTCCCCCTCTCTCCCTCACTTTCTCTCCCCCCTCTGCATTGGCTGGTTCAGCAGCTATAACACAATCACCCATTTGAGTCAAAGAAGGTGTCATTCTTCTATCCTCTTCTACGCTCATATTGTTTGGCTGCTCTGTCTGCTGAATAGACTTCCAGTAGACTCATACGACTTTAGTCTGTGTTGCCAGTCTATTGTAATGGCTTTAATTTAAGCATTGTGTGACTTAAATTAAACTATGCCGTGTCAGTACTGCAGTTGCTCGCTTGTTAGAATGTAGTCATTAACACATTTAAAGATGTGTCCATGCACTTTCATTCTTATTGCCCTTGTTAGCAGCTCTCTACCTTCATGGATAATTATGCCAATAAAGTCTGTTCAAAACATAGTCACCCACAAAGGGACATTAATGTCTCTGTGGAATTATGTTCTCATTCCATTAAGTGTGCTAAACTATTTTACACACACTCTAAGCCCACTGATAACACTATCTTGATTGTGTATAAGTACAGTAGTGAGACAATGTTGATTTCAAAATGTACAAAAACAACAAACTAAAATATATTGATATATATATTGAATAGCGGTAAAACACAAGTTGTTAAAAAATCTCCTCGCCTACTTTTTTATTTGATCATGCTGTTCCCTCTCTAGGTTCTCCAGGCGATGGGCTACCCAACAGGGTTCGACTCAGACCTGGACCCCATGAGTTCAGACGAGAAGTCGGACGGGGAGGGGAAGAGCGAGACGTCATCACACACGAGCAATAACCCAACACACACCTCGGACAATTCCAACGCACTGGAGGTGAGGATTGAGAAACAAGGGTTGATACAAAATTGCACACACTCAAATGCTTTTTCATGTCTCGGAATGTTCATTTCTAACTATTACAAATAAACACTTGTGTTGTCATGATCATGCTCAGTCTCCACTGTTTGCTTTCTAATACACTATACTTTTAAATGATAAGACTTTAATTATCTCCCCAGGTGCGAACTCAGGGTCCGATACTGACGGCGAGTGGGAAGAACCCCGTCATGGAGCTAAACGAAAAGAGACGAGGCCTCAAATACGAACTCATCTCTGAAAGTGGAGGCAGTCACGACAAACGCTTTGTTATGGAGGTGAGCTTCACAGTGCCTATGAAAATATATTAAACATGTATATGTGTAAGAGAGTATATTTATTTATGCACATGCCATTTAGCCATGGGGAGAAACATAACCGGGCACACACACACACACTCAGAAGCAGGCTGATCTCCGGTTGTGTCAATCAGTCAGCTTGGTTCATGGAGCAGGCCTGTTCTCTGTGGGGTGTGTTGTTTTCCGACATGCCTGGCCGCTCCATCGCTCCGCTGATTGATTAGCAAGCCTGCCTGACAGCAGGGCCTCGCTAAACAAGCCGTCCTGTTCAGCCAGACTCACTGGCTGAGTAAGTCATGACTGAAAAAAAAACATGGGTTTTGAACAGATTGATTGTGCAATTGTTAGTTTTGTTAAAGCTGTATTATATGGCGAAACCACTAATAGAAGTGATAATAAAACTATACAATTATTTTAACCAGATGCACAAAATGCAAAATGTTCCTTTTGTCCATAAGTAGTCTTAAAGCATATTTGATGAATATGTTACCTTCTTTATGTGTGTGTTTGTGTGTGTTCGTGTCAGGTGGAGGTTGATGCACAGAAGTTTCGTGGGGCAGGCCCCAATAAAAAAGTAGCAAAGGCCAGTGCTGCTCTAGCGGCTCTAGAAAAACTCTTCTCTGGTCCAAATGCAGCTGTAAACAAGAAAAAGAAGATATTGCCTCAGGTAAGGAAACACACACACATACACACATACACACTACATACCAGACACTGCTTCCATATGGGGCTGTAAAGCAAACAGTATCAAACCTATGATCAATACAACCTGTAGCAGTCTTTCTCATGAGCCAAACTGTCCATGCAGCTTTAAAGATGATAACGTTTAAACGTCTTTTTATTCTGTGGAGCAATTATTCCCACTTTGTTCACTCATCAGTTATCAGTGGCACTGGGATCCATACGTTATCAGATCACAGTTTATCACACCGTTATCAGATTGACATGTTTCATCCTGAGTACTCACTGAGCCTGTGTGCATGCTGGTTTGTAAACAGCATGTCTTTGTCCAGACAAAAGGAGTCCTGGCGGCCGCCGCCGCCGCCTCAGCAGTAGCAGCTCAGGTCGCCCGAGGAAGAGGAAGAGCAGCCCTCGCGAGAGGAGCCTTCGTCAGCGCCGCCGCACCAGGATATGTCACTCCAGGTAGTGAGATCTTATGTGAGATATGAAAGATTACAGCTATTCGTACTGATGGTATTTTCTTTATGTTGGTGCATTGTTCTAATATACAAATCATTTCAAATACCCGTAAATTATTGTCTTTTTCTTTTGATTTCTGATCAGAATTGTATTAATTATCAGTTATCAGAATCAGAAACCGGTTTATTACCAGGTAGGTTTACACGTACGAGGAATTTGACTTGATGTCATGGTGCATACATAACAAATAACATTAAATATTAGAAATAATAAAAAATATAGGAAAACACTGCAGTGTTTACATAGAAATAGAATGGAAAAAATAAATACAAAATATGTAATAAAATTCGGTAGTAATAAAAAAAATAGTGCTGAACTTTCACTAATATTCTATAATATATTCACTAACCCTAATGTGTGTCAATGATGGAATATACAGTATCTAATCAGGTAGGGGTTTTAGCTTCACCTCAGGTATTCCAACCTTTAACCACAGCTGTCTGCTAGAGTGCAGAAACACTGATCTAATCTCACTGAAGATGTTGAAAAATGCAGCCTGGAATTGAAAGTGCGCAATTGAATTAGACCCTGTCACCCCTTCCCCAACAGGCTTTGGGGCACCGTATGGCTACAGCCCCGCTGCAGCAGCTGCTCCTGCATACGGTACGTGCGTCTTCTTTCCTGTCAACTCATTTCACCTTCTCTCTGCCGTCTTCTTAACATCTCTTCCCTCTTAACCAGTCAATTCCCTTTCAACCCAACATAGCATAGTGGGTTTGTTAATTATTCAGTAGGTTTATCTTACACTAACCGTTCTTCTCAACCCTCGTTTGCTTCAAAACTTGATCCCATTTTATTCCATGTTGTGGGATTTGGCGCTGAGCTTCAATAACAACTAATTCAAGCTTAAACTGTCGCCTCTTTGTTGCATAATTCAAGCTAATCCATCAGCACTTTGGCTTATTGTCCGCTCAGCACTTTCTTCATTTTACTCACTATCTCATCTCATATGGGCTGAAACCGATCATGACACAAACATGCACTTATTGAATTAAAATCGAAAAGAGTCGAACTCTAACTAAGCTTTCCTGCACTGATAATAACCCAGACCTACTCTACGTACTGCTGCATCTTCATTTCTGTTGAGATGAGCAGAGTGTCAGTTCCTCACTTTACCAGCTGTTATTTAAGACAAGGTGGCAGGTCAGCTCCTGTCATGTTACTGCTGCTCCACAGTTTCTATGTCCTCACTGCTGAAAGTGCCCACTGCGCTCCCTCCCACACACACATGCATAGGCTCAAATCTATACTAGTCCTTGACCTTTGACAGCATCGGTATTGGTGCAAAAAACCACTCACACATGCGTCCTTCTGTCACACACAGTCACATTTACTCCCACAGACTAAGCCCTGTGCAGTGTGTGCACACATGGGAGGCCTCTCAGATTTGAATGAATCTTATGTGCTAAGAGAAACTGATCTGGGGCCCCCGGCAGACGTCTAGTACCCCCCTGAGATCCTGACTGCCCTGAACATAAATGAGCCTTCGTTTCTCTGTTTGTCGTGGAGCTCTGTCTTCATTCGGTTTCAATTCAATCCCTGGGATCTGCATTATTTATTAAATGTAATTGTGACCATAATGAAATACTCAAAATCCAATCTAGCAAGCACATTAAAGTGACTTTTATAATTACTTCTTTAACTTGTCTTTTTAAGTATCCTATTTGCCATGACATCCAATATATTTGAAGAGGCAGTCAGTTAGGGCCATCGTGCCTGGCCAATGAAAAGACTTGGCGATGAAATGCAGTGTATCTTCAGTGGGAGTGATGAAGAGTTATTGGTATCTCACGGTTTGCTTCTCTGCCCCGGTGAATCATCAGAACATTTCACGCATCATGGTGGGTGATCAGTGTGAGTTCAGCTCACCCTGAGCTTTAACTACCTACGAGTCGGTAGGAATTCATGTTATTTGAAAAAGTATAGATAAACACGAAAAGTTACATTCAACTCCATATTAGGTCCTGAAATGAAAAGTGACATCCTCCCAATTTGCGTCAGCACAGCATGTAAACTGAGACCTTGCTCTACTAGACTCTATAAAGCTTTGCCTGCCATCATGCAAGGTATAAGAGATATTGTGTTCTTATTATTTAATACACTTACTAAAACAAGTCCAAATTGGTAAAACAATCTTTGTGTTGGCTCCATCAGGGCCTACATTTCAATCAGAATCGAGAAATGACAACATTGGAAACAAAGCTTTTACCTTGGTCCCTGCTTTTCACTGTCCTCTGCTTTGGGCTTTCGTGTTGGCAATAATAACACATATTATAAAACTGGCTCACAGGACCGCTAATACATACTGTAAACCAGGACATTATATTATAGGAAAGGGCATTATATCATATTGGAACACAGGCTTCTATACAATACGGGACAATTTCTTTCATTTCTTTCTCTTCCTTCCTTTATTTTCCAACTCTGCCTCTGATTGGCTTTTAACTCTAACTAATCTCCCCGCTCATGCCTTAACCTAACCAATGAAATCATCGAAGTTAACAATTCGCCAATCAAGAGGCAGACATGGGCGGGTCATGCTTTTGCAATAGCAGGAATTGTGATGTATCTTACAGAGCTCAACTGTCTCGAGAAGAGTTATTTCACTTTATTACACCATGGGTCTTCAGTTGTAGTTGTGTTCATCAATCCAAAATAAGAAGTTATAAAGCATTGTACTCACCAGGGAAATTGCTGTGTAACATCGTTTAAAAAAAGAACCAAACCCCAGATATGTCAATGTGATTGAAAGAAGAAACTAAGGCAATCGTTTTGACCTGTGCTACTTAAGGATTAACTCAAAACATCATGATTTTCATAAAGGATGGTTGAGATTCCTAAAACTATAACAAGACCCAGTTTGTAATAAATCAAAAATGAATCTCATCTTCGGCCATTTGTTTTCCTCTTAACTATGCTTCTCGGTTTTCTCTAACCACCGAATAAGAACAAACAACCCTATCCGTTTCCTCTCACTCAGAGACCCCCCCCTTTGTTTAGAGGGCTGTTGGTTGGACCTAGATGCAGCGTAGTGTAGAAGAAGGAACAGACACTTTTGGTTTATTTGTTGCCCTTGACTCATGCAGAGCTCTTCTCATGTCTCCCCCTCAAGGTTTGCCAAAGAGAATGCTTCTGTTGCCTGTCATGAAAATGCCCACCTACCCCGTCCCCCACTACCACTTATTTTAGCTCCGGAGACACACACACACACACACACACACACACACACACACACACACACACACACACACACACACACACCACACACACACACACACACACACACACACACACACACACACACACCAAACGCTTAGTCATACACACCAAACGCTTAGTCATACACACACCAAGCACTTCTCCCAAAACCTGCTTTTTTCTAGAAGGGAAACCTTTTTCTACAATGATGGGAGAGGACCTGAGCTAAATATATTTTCTTTCCAGAAACTTTTATGAATGTGGAAAATAATGCAGGTTTGAGTTCTTAAGAGATAAACAAAAACTTGAAGGATTTTACTGTGAATTGTGACCTCGTACTTTGAGTCTAAATTATATATTTTAGCCTTTTGTTATTGTGTTATTTGCCAGGGAGAGGATAGCCTTTGCAATACGATACACACAACACACATTGTCTCTCTACAAAGAAAATATAAGCTTTGTGAAGGAATAAAGAAATAATAATTTTGAAAAAGAATCTCCTACACAAAGCTGAACACTGTCTGGTGTATACATTTCTTTACATTACAAAGGGATGTGATGCACTTTTAGTTTTGGTTAGACATTTTTGGATTATTTTTCCAGCAGCGATCTGAAACGATTTACTCACTCTTTCAACCTGCCTACGATACTGTGACCTAAACTTGCATCAATCTTTAATATTCCACTCTCATACAGCGCAGGGATTGAATTTCAATCTTTCCGCGTACCTCAGGGCGTCTCGTTACATCCTTTTGACCCTCAGTTTATAGATATTCAGAGGGAAGGGCGAGAAGACAACGATTGAATTTAGAAAGCTTTTGTGGGATCCTGCATCATGGATTCATCGGCACGATCCCATTACCTCACGTGGATTAATATCTGCCCGATTTCCCACAGCTATCGGAGTTATCAACTGGAGTGAATGCAGAGCTTTTTGCAGTTTGGGAGCTCAGTACATTGGAAAGACAACATATTTGAGCCCAACAAACATCTATATCACTTATTCTCCCTATATGCTTGTTATCAGGCGTCATAGAGCTGTTGTTAATGCATGTCAACCACAAACAGAAACTTTGGGACCCACATGAATTCATTTCTCTCTGTCTCACATGTCTCTCTGTATGTTGTTTCATTATATCAGTGCCATTGCTGTATTTGTTGTTTTTGCACGTCTTTGCTTAACCTTTAAATAAAGATAAGCACCAACTGAGCTGCTGAAGCCATTTTAAGAACATGGATTAATATCACAAGTAATGTATAAAACATTTAAAGAGAACTTAACTTAAAACAGAATAAAAAATGAAGTGCTAGTCAAAGGTCAGCTTCAGTCAGGACAGAGATTTGCTGGCTCTTCACCTGCCTCAGTCATCCAACCATCACCTGACAACATCTCCATGGTTACAGATATGATGCGCAGCCATTCGATGAGAGGACCCAGTATCTTGTCCAATGGTTGGTTGAGCTCTATTGAGTTGTTGTAAATCCTTTTAATTGTTTTCAGTTGTTACATTTTGATTATTGTTTTGTCATTCTTCTGTAGAAGTTTGAATGTATTTTTATTTCTGAAATCAAGATATTTATATTAGATACATTCCCTGTCTCATGGATTCAGCTTTGAATGTACTGATAGATATAAGACTTCTGTTATCTGATCTTTACTTTGAACTCTTGATAACAAAATGTATTTCCCAGAATGTTGAACTTTTCTGTCACCCAGGTTATGATTTATTTTTTAGAAACATTTCCAAAAACTGCTCAAGTACCCTTGAAGTAACCTTGTCCTAGAAAAAAACATGATTAGATTTCTTTCTCCCTATGGAATTGCCTTTTGATCCTTCATTGTCTTTTATGAATCTCTATATGTATGAACATGAATAGTAATCCTTCTGTCACTGTTCTTCTTCTCATTGCAGGTGGTCTTTTCATTGACAATCCCTTCTACCAGCCGCGGACCCTCGCTCCTTTTATCATTCATCTGGGTCCCCAGGATCTCTTCTCTGACTTCTAGTGGCAGAAGGTTGTTGGAAACTCTCTTCACACTGACCTGTGTGTACATGCAGGACGCCTATCTTTATGTCCTTCTCTAAGCCTTTTGATGCAGGTGATGGGCTCACAGATCTCAAACTGTTTCTGTTTGATCAGTCCGCCGGAAAAAAAAACGTTCTGTCAGCAGCAGAGTATCAAATCTCACCTACTGACCGAGAGGCTCAACGCTCCACTTTCTGTATTCTCTATTCTCCAACCAGATGATCACTTCAGAGGAGGGAAACTTTACACAAAGCAATACTCGGATTGTATGAGGAACGTTCAGCTGTGCGAGGCTGGGCTGAACTTCTTTCTTATAGCAATACACCAGAACTCCTCTCCAAGCTTACTGACTTGAGAAGATGTGAATGTCCGATGGAGTTTTACCCAACACAGCATTGCAATAGCTCATTCTGATTGTATATTCATTGTATGTGTGTGTACGTGTGGCTATAACATGACTATATACACATATATGTATGGTGTATGTTTCTATAACAATGTGTTGACAATAATATTACTATATGAGGATGTATTTATGTAAATATTCTATAAAATATAACTATTGTTGGTATAAATTATTTTAGAATTATAACGTGAGATGTAACTGTAATATCACAGTATAGCTTTCTTCCAATTTTATATACACTGAGCAATTGAAGCTAGTTCTAGGAGATGCAATATTATCTTTGGTATTCCTATTAACCCTGTGCTGTTAGAATATGTATGCTTCCTTCTTTCCTTTCCTTCCTCTCCTTACTTTCCCTCTATCTTTGATGTCTTTCTGAGCACGCTCTCTGCTGCCCGAGGTCTGTTTACGTGGCCCGGACCAGAGGTGCTCACTACTACTGAACACACTCATCACCTAATCACACCTGTGCACACCCAGGCACACACACTCTCCTGTCAAGAAGCACATTTTCTAAAGTCTCACTGCTGGCAGGGAATACTGTTGTTACAAATACAGTACTGTATGTGTATAGTATGTGTATACATCCTCCATAACACCCATCAACACTCTGTCCCGCTCGCCTTAGGGACCAAAAGCACAGCTCACTCGCGCATTGCTGTTCCTTCTTTCTGCCAACACACACATTCACACACACCCTTCCCTCCAGCCTCTTTTCCTATAGGGACATGATGGTGGCAGATACAGCCTGGTCAAAGGGCGTGTCTTAAAAAATGGCATCTCACAAGTTACTGGCTAACTAATTAAAGGTATAGCTCAGAAAAAGGTCTTAAAAGTGGAGCTTTAAATTCGATTGATGTGTTCCTGCCTGGGAATAACTATATTTCATGGGTTGGTTATGTCAGCTGTCGGTACTTAGAAGGAGGGAGTTTACCTTTGGTTTCTTTTGCCGGTCACTGATACTTAAAAAAAAAACCAACATGTCTGATCAGTCAACCACAGCAGTCTCTGGCCTCAAGTTACAGTACATTTAAGGATTCTAATAAGTTCCACAGAGTGAGATGTACTCTTTAAACATGAAGTATAAACCCATACTATCAGAACTCAAGATTAGTATTGAGAAAGAAAAGCCGGACTGGTGCATGCCTAGTTTCAATCACAGTGGCTGAGACACCTGTCAATCAAGCAAACGTCTCTGTTAGGCAACATCTTCTGAACATTTTTAGCACGATATTAGAAAAATACAAAAGTTGTATTTACCTGTATTTGAGACAGAAGTTGGATTCTTAAAGGATTTGAAACCCCTAACACAGCCAGCTTGTTAAGGCCAGTCTCCGTGTTGATGAACTGTTACAGAGAGATTTGGGGGGTGAAGTTTGGTTTGTTATCATTTGTAGTCTTAAAAATGCATGAATATTGTGTTTGACTATGTATCCCTAGGCCGTTGAGAATGCTATAGCACAGATTGCAAGTTTTATTTGCGTAGATTGTAGTTAGAGTGAGAGATGAGGTGTTCCATTAAACTCTAAAGTGCTTAACGCTTAAGTATGTTGGGTCTAACTTTGGGCTGTAATCAGCCAGAAAGCAGCATACACAAAGTACTCACTCAGTTCTATGTGGGATTCTTTGCAAATATCTGTAGTGCTTCTAAAAGCTCTTCATCAGTTTTATTTTATTTTTAGCCTTCAATAGAGACAAGGTGTCAGTCAGCAGAGACAAAATCGACCAGAATGTGAATCAAAAGGCTTTGATTCCCCTCAAGCTCGCCTTGATCTGCGCACCTGTTTGATCTCCTGCGTTTGCTTCAGCTTTGATAAAAACAAAAATGACGTCTGAGAATGCGGTGATAGACGTCCTAACGCCTCAAAGCCCATTGTTTTCAAGACTTTTGAGTCAAATTAGAGTTCTATTTTGCGACACCACTGAGCTGACAGTCAAGAGAATTCTTTAGTTTTACTGAATATGGAATACAATGAGAGTCAGGATGTAAATGTTGTCTCTGCTTATCGGTTCCTTAAACCTGGTTATGGTTCAGCCATTCAGCATCATGGACAGAACATCTGTGTTGAAATCAGAGCTTGTAAACATTAGCTGTTAGCCGCCGTCAAAGGTTGCAGTGAATGACTTTACTCCATTCACAAAAAATTGGAATCGGGGAGCAACGTTATCATGATATCAAATGTAATCTTGTTAACTGTTTATTTTGGCGAGATACTTGAATAAATATAGTTGTTTGAAGATAAAGAAAGTAGTCGAGTTGAGTAAAATTACCTCAAAATGTCAGTAAATTCCACTACCTATATGAAGACATTTGTTAGCATGCCGTTTTAAGAAAATAAACTGAACAAATCTCGGTCATTTACGTATGGGTAGCTGGTTACTCGACATAAACACAGTGTGTCTGTTACAGCCAGAGTCCACATCCGTTGCCTCTGCTCCGCACGACACATTTGTTTAGCTATTCCAAGCATTTCCCACCAAATCACAGAGCACCTCCGGCCCTCTCATCTCATCTGAGAGAGGCACTGCTTTGCCGTTTTCATCCTTGTGTGGAATTCACGTTGAGGTGAATAACTGTGTTGAAACAGAGCTTCTCTATCGGCTAAGAATTTCTCCTTATTTCCCCTCTGCCCTCTCTCTGTCCAGATGGCCCACATTAATAAGGCAGATATTCATACCTCAGTGAGCAACCTTTTCATTTCCCCTGTGACTGAACAGACACGCTGGAGGAGTCACCCTGACTACTGACCTGTCCTCTTGGTCTGTTGGCCGGACAACCGCTCACAGGAAAGGAGGCAGAGTGAGAGCTCAGGGAAACACGCTCGGTCTAAAAATGGCGCAGGCGTCTGTAGAGGTTGGGGAGTTGTTTCCTTAGTTAGGCAGATTTGTGTTTCTTGTTAGGCTTTACGGTAATACGTGAGGAAAAATAACTTTTTACCACTTCCCAGAAGCCCTGTTTGAAGATTTGGACAGTTGTGTCCATGTGGATAACTTTTCTAGAGAGTAATGCTTATTTGTCCTGCTCCCGGTCCCTGTGAGTTCTATGATGGATGTTCATCCCTTTCCATTGTTCCCATGAAAGGTCTCAGAGATCACTATGAAACAGGAAAACATGGCAGCCATTGTAAACGCATCTCCCTGCATCTACACTTTGACATACACAGCCTCTCTCTGGGCGTGTGATTACACCTGTAAATCTTCTAAGCACAAAACACACACACATTGTTCTCAGGGCCACCTGACACACACGTTTATGCAAATAGACACAGAAGTAATCATATATGTAAATATTTCATCATTCACTGACAATAACAGCCGAGCCCATTGAGACATTGTTTGCTTCATGGTTTGTATATCACACATAAGATTGTATGTAGTGAGAATTGTAAAAGTGGTTAGGCCTTGTTTGTACTTTAGGATTTGAGCCATGTATAGCTGAGAAAATACATCTCCCCTATTTGTTTTCTTGGTGCTTTATAACAGCCTGTCTGTAGCACTGTATATAATGGATGTTACTTTACCTTTTTGGAGAACCAGCAGTTACCCGTGAACAACATAAACTTTGCTGACAGGGGACAAAAGGGAGTTATTTTGGCACCAAATGCAGTTGCTTTGCACGTTTAAATGCTGCAATATGTTCAGTAGTTAAAGTGTGCTTTTCGCTGCCAGTCGCACAATTTCCCTCGGGCTACTCTTCATCCCGCTGCCAGGGTTAAAGGTCAAACAGGATAGGGAATAATGCAGAGAGGCTGTCTGTTAACAGGTTCTGGATTGTTCTGCGGGATGGGATTCATCCAGACACCAAAGACTCTGAAGGCTTTGTTGCAAAAATCTGATATTCCATACAGTACGGGAGGTGATACTCGCCATCTAGACAGTTAACAAATACCAGGTGGTAAATGAAGGAGAAAAGTGTCTTGCATTAGCACAGAGACGCTAGGAGACATGCTAAATGTGTCTGAAAGCAGAGGAAGAAGAGCCGAAAGAGCCAGCAGGTCCATCATCTGAACTCTCAGCCGAAATAATACGATCACGTTTCAACTGCCGAGGCAAAGGAAACCAGACTAACTGCTGAACGCATCATTTTCTCCTGGTGTGTGTGCATGTGTGTCGTGGGGGGGGGGAACACCTGTGAGTTTGTGTGTTCGTCTGGCTAGCACATCAACTGGAGGAGGATGGGAAGTTATTTCACACCCATACGCACGCACAGACACACATTATTGCAGTCACATTTAGCATGTTGTTGCATATCTTCTGGTCATGGTCTGCTGAGAAGTCCAAAATCCTCCTGATAAACGATCAAAGCATTTTGGTTGGGAATGTACACTGTCATTATAGTGATTGTAGAGTAGAATGTATTTACTCATAGAGAGAGTAAACTTGCTTTTGTGTAGAGAAGCATATATACAGAATATATATGGATACATACATATACATCTATATATCTTTTGATCTTGTGTGTGAGAGTTGTTTTGGGCGCATCCACCCTGTTAAGATTCATATTTCTCTCCCCTTTTTCAACTTTTATTTATTATGTTCGGACAAAAGTAGCGTCCTACGGGTGATGAGTGTTTATGTTTTTCCTGTATATATGATTTTTTTATTTTATTTTTGACAAAAAGGGGTTTAAAAAGAAACAGTTTTACGATGCTGCCTATGAAGTGATATCTGTCCACAGAATCTGTGTGATTCATGAATTTATCAAAGTGATTTTTTGGTGAAATGTAACAATGACAGGGTGGGAGTCTCACAGGTCGTGCTGAACAAAGGCCAGTGACAATGAATCATTTGAACTTGCTGTATTGATTAGTAGCAACATTCACAGCAGTGATGATCTGTGGTTGTCACTGTTTTTGACATAATCTATGCTTGACAAACTGAAAATAAATCTGATAAAGTGCTGAATCTCTATAAGTGAGTATCTTTTTTTTTTAAAGGTCACTTATTATGCAAAACTAATTTTTCATGTCTTTTATACATACATATGTTTCCCTTCTGTGTTAAAAGATTCAGAAAGTTTCAGAAAAAAAGGTTCTCTCTCTCTTTTTGTCCTGATCCATTTATATAAATCCTGTCTGAAAATCAGCTGATCATATTATGTCCACTTTATGATGTCACAATGTTTTTATGGGTTGTGCAACCATTAGCCAATAACCAACCAAGGTAACACCCGCCCACCTTATCACCTGAATCTCCTCCTGGAGCACCATTGTTTTTTAAACCAATCATCTTGCAGAGGGGCGTGGCCAGCAGCAGCTCATTAGCATTTAAAGCTACAGACACAGAATCAGCACTTTTGAAACAGGGTTGAAACCGAAAGGGTTTATGGGATGCTACAATGCATGATCTTTTTGGGATTTCAAGTCGAACACTTCAGAGACATATATGTATATATCTGAGAAGTAAAATATATTGTTGCAAAATAGTATAATAGGGGACCTTTAAGTTATCTGGGAACTTAAACTGAGTGACTGTAGTCAATTGTGGGAATGAATACATCAACAATTACTTTACACTACAGGACGACATGATACAAACGACAGACACCTGAGGATGGCCATTTAAAAAAACAAGTAGAAATCAGAATAATTAACAATATATGACACTTACTTATATCTAAATACCCAACAATTCAAATTTGAGCTGCAGTGAAAGGAAGCTGACTTTCCTCAACACATAAAGTCTGCACTCGTTTTGTATGACATGTTGGATTTGTTGTATTCTAGTTCCTCTTCATACAGTACTTCCCACATAGTGCTACATTCTGAAAGCTAATAGTGATATACTTGTGTCGTTATGTCAAACTATAATCACAGAGGCAAGGTTATGAGAGATAATTGGCAACTTTGTCTATGAAGGGTTTCAGCACATGAGCTGTCAATCATCTGCAGAGCGACTCTGCTGACGGCTGAGTCCGAGGATCCAGTGACATCTCCAGCAGTGGACACCCCCGGCAACCAGACACAGCTGCCAATCACACGGCAAACCAATGAATATCTGTGTGTGTTTTCAATAAAAATAACAACAAATGGGGAACAAATTGTGATTTTGTCTGAGAGAAAGCAAACAAGACAGATTGGAAGAGGATTTACCTCTTCTGCTGATGACAGCCATCTTGAAAAATTAAACCCTGTTTTAAAAATTATTAAAGGTTGTGTGCATCTCCCTTTTTTACTACAACATTTAACATTTTATAGTATTATCTTTTGAAAGTGACCATCTGAATGTAATGCTATGTTTACATACCTACAACCAATTAGATGAACATGCTTTTGATAACAATAGATAGCTTGCAGTGCTTTGCATTTTATGAGAAAATAACATAGAAGGTTTAAAAGAAACATCTCTTGTACCCCTTCTTGCTTTCTCATAACATTCCCAGTAATCTCATAGTTATGTACAAACTAATCTCCGAGAACCACTAAGAAACATTATACCGGAGGCATCTGTATGCTGGGTCCTGGTTCAGAGGCTACACTGCAGGGCAATACATTACCCAGGATTGCTGACAAGTTCACAGCAACTCGTTTTGTATTTCAGCCGGTAACAGGAAACTGTGATGCCCACAAATCAGTTTGATTTGACAGCCTTCCCTCTCCACATCAGCTGTCTAGAGATAACAACAACGCTGGTAAAGATTTACCAACACCTATTCCCAAAGTCAACTGTTATCATACTATACTGTGTTGTTTTTCAAATATTTTGAACATACTGCACTATGACCTTTTCCATCATTAACTAGGTTGTTGTTTCTGAAGTTTTATATGTTTTTTATGCTTATTTCCAACATACTATACTATGTAATTTTTTCTAAATATTGACACACTATATATATTGTTTTTTTTGTGACATTTTAGACAAGCTATACTAGATGATTTTTGGGGAAACACATAACACCTGTTCCAAAACCGAGTTGAACCCGGGTCGCCTGGGTTCAAACCAGGAGTCCTAACCGCTATACCATATGGGAAAAACATTCCCTATCTACTAAGGATTATTTACTTTTATTGATGGACAATATTATATTATACTTTGTTGTATGATTCCCAACTCTTTACTGTGTAATTTTTCTGAAATTCTCAACATACTCTGCTATAGGCCTATCATTTTTTCTGACATTTTTAACATACTATTCCATGTAGTTTTTTTGCATATTTTTGACAACCTTTACTTTAAAGTATCATCTTACGATACTATACTGAAAGCTGCGGCCCAAAACCCCTGGTCCTAATTGTCCATAGTTGTTTTACAATGCAGCATTTATTTGGAGTCACTGCATTGCATGACATGGAAGCTACTGAAAAAAATCCAGACTTTTCCATAAAGAAAATTAGACATTTCACAACAATATTTATGTGAAATAGAAAAGCACAAAAAAGTAATTACATGTCTAGTGTGAAAATACTATGCTGCACTTATTTTGAGTAACTGCATGCATGACATGGAAGCTACTGAATTTGTTTAGACTTTGCAAAGCATGACAAATTCAGTGTGTGATTCTGCAGTCATGTGATCAGGTGACAGGGAGTTCAGGAGGTTGTTGGGTGTCTCTCGGGTCCATATCACCCCTCCAACATACGCTCACGTACATAAATACACAGAGTTTCATCCCCGAGTCACAAATCATCGACAAGTGAGCTGCACAGCAACTGAAGACGCCTGTCCCATCAGCATTCCACATCGCTGCTCTTATTTATAGCTATGTAACGCAGGAGAGTACGAGGAGGGGGGAAGGGTGATTGCATAATTCTGATGCTTGTTACCTCCATCTGCCACAGGTACTGGGTTTCCAAATCAACATGCCTACTGTTTTGCGATCTGCGGCCTCAGAGCCAAGTAGCCTATAACTAAAGGTGATAATTGTATGGGCCTGCATGAGTTATAAACACTCCAAATGATACAATCAGGGCGCATTATACACTAAGGCCAAAGCAGAATATAGCTCAGCCCTGCCGCAGATAGCATTGCAGGATATGTTACGAGGGAAACGATGAGAAATAGAACTGGAACCAAAGTAAATGCTAAAAGGAGATTTCCATCCAGCTCAAGGGAAACGGTTTTAGCTGAAAGATAGACTGTTTTAACAGTTAGCTGGAAGAAAACGGGTTTATTTTCGTGTTCAAAACTCCCTCAGATGTCCAGGAAGTGTTCCCAAGAGGTGAGTTGAAGGAGTGTCATTATAACAGCCTGGGCCTCCTCTCCTCTGTTTCTACATTTCAGCAGCAATGTGACATGTTTGGCTTTATAGATTGTATAGAAGCTGGCGATATGGGAAACAATTAAAGATTTCTGATTGAGATTGGCGAGAAGCCTCAAAATAAACATTCAGTGCTCTTGAGAAAAGGGATGGAGGAAAAGTTATAGCATGTCTGTGAGATAATAAAACATTACCCAAAGAGAAAAATGTACATTTGTTTGTTTTTAATTCTCACCGTGGTATTGAGATTTACCGTAACTTTTATATCGTTTTAATGGCACTCTATGATCTGTTTTTATGACATTATATAACATGGCATTTCTGGTTACCTTTTTATTTTAATCTCTAATATTACTCCAGTACTAAACTATGATATAGTCAAATAAAGTTCGATAACTGATTGTCTTCGGCCGATATTGAGCAGTCGTCGACTCGTCGGGTAGATTTGTATTTTATTTAAGAATAAAAAAACGAAACAGGCAGGACTTTTTTGTGTCGATATCTTTATATTGAAATTCATGAAGTAGGCCTATACAATGCATCCTACACTATTACAATGTCCACACGTTGATAATGTTTTTGTCGTATGATAAAGCTACGTTTTGGCATTTAATTAACCAAACAGCACTTTGACTGAGAAGCTCAGAGCAAAAATAAAAACAGAAAACATTGTTGTGAATTAAACGGTAGCACGGCAGCAGGTTGGTAGATACAAGTAGGCAACATTAGTTATCTTTACAGAGTAGAAAATCATGAACAAAAACTCAATATTAATTTTTAAATGTTTGTTATATACAACCCAGTGTCTTTAGAGGAACAACTTCATCTTGGTCCTTCCTCTGACATCACCAGCAGATTTCAGCCAATCAGATTCCACCTTCAAGTTCAATACAAAAAAACCCAGTAACTGTTCAGTTTAGGCTGGAAACAGAAATACAGTTTTCACTGTTTGTTTTTATTCTCCAGTCTCATTTGATCAGTGAATAGAAAATGAGAAATGGTTGCCCCCCTTTCTATTAAGATAAATATGAAAACACACACGCATGCACTTTTGAAACCCCCCATCGCGAGCATGTCAGCTTGACCTCTGCTTTGACCTCTGATCCCTGCGACTGATGGTGCATCTTCTGTGATACCGATCCAAGCTAGAGGTGCAGAGTTTCACTTCTACAGTTGTATGTGTTCATTTTCTGCTTCTACAATCACATCCACTTTGATAGTTCTACATCTGCTATGGCCCCCTGAACACGATGAATTCTTTGAGGCAAGAATTCATCGAGGAGCTCATAAATGTTTCAAGGGACTTCGCTCCACGCAGGTTCCATCGATCTATTCCTGCTGATTTTTGGAGGCTGCGAGATGCTTGATCCCTTGTTCCACCTCCTCCCAAATGTGTTCTCAATGAGTGCAGGAAGCCGGAAAAAACACAGATTTCTGTCATGTCGCTGGATTTATCTTGAGATGATGGTCGGTAGCTTTTCTACACAGTGGCAGTGACACTATGGGGTCTAATTTTAAGTCAAGAAAAATCATAACAGTTCAACTTTGACTCAACACAGGAAACAAGCTTTTAATGACTTTCTTTGCTTTCTACCATCAGCATGGGACAAAAGAAACTAGCATTTGTTGCATCATTTTTCAACCATTAATTATGCTTACACTGCATCTGTCATATGGCCCTCCTGTTAAAGTGTTGCTGATCTTCACACTATAATAGTCATTACATCTTTTCGATCCAACATCATACTATTCTTTGCTAGAAAGTGACCAAACAATTAGAAATTGTCCTCATGTTGGACAGAAATAGAAGCAGGTGTCCCACATAAATCAGCCACTGTGTGTTTGTTCTGTATCTGCCAATATATAAAACCAACAGTGTAGTTCAGTGTGTAGTGGTGAACGAGAACCCAAATATCCGACTGAAGTGTGAAAAACAAAACCGTCCTGCTCGATGGAGTACCACACATGACCCTGCCTGTCTAGTTCAGAGGTCGAAGGTCACAGAGCAGCTGGGCCTGACAGCAGGTGGTTGAAGGTGTGTTCAAGTGCAGCAGGAATCACAACGTCCTGTGCGTGGCCTTTCTATTTTGACTTCCACAAAGTGATGTTTAGGGTTTGAAAAAGCATTGCACCACTTTAACAGTGTTGTAACATAAATACACAAAGTGTATACTACATGAGAAGGTTTGCACGGTTTGGAGCTTCTTTTCGTTTCTTTGTGCTGGGACATCCAAACCAAACAAACCTCAAGCATGTTAAATGTCAGATATTTGATGTGAGGAAAATTGACTGTAATTTATATATTCACACACATCCACTAGTTTCAATGTTATCGACCTTCTGATCAAGGCTTTGTCAGCAAACTTTTCTTCAGCATCATTCATATGCACATTTAAACAATAAAGGAAACTAGACAACCAGGGAAACACTCTTTCCCCTTACACACACACACACACACACACACACACACACACACACACACACACACACACACACACACACACACACACACACACACACACACACACACACACACACACACACACACACACACACACACACACACACACACACACACACACACACACACACACACACACACACACACACACACACACACACACACACACACACACACACACACACACACACACACACACATAACCGTAGTGCTTTTTTCTTTCCCTTTCCACACATTGTCTCCCTCGTATACACATTTTAACGTTACTTCAGTCTATTATTTATGCATTCAAACACATATTTTCAGTCTCACATACACCCCATAGTCAACACAAAACATGCATGCTTACACATACACACATATGCTCATTACATAAGCACATTCATGTACATACATAGAAAACAAAAAGGTGTTTTTCAACGTAAATTAGAAAAAAGCTCAGTTTTGAAAAGGCGTCTATTAGCTCTCGTACCTAAAAGGAACATTTGACAGGGCCTGGTTGTGCCAGTAGTTTAGAGGGGAGCCCGCAGAAGAGTGAGGAAGGACGGAGTGTTTTCTTCTCTATCCCGTCAGGACAGTAACTCTTCAGGTGTCCTGCCTTTCTTCTGCGGGTCGTTATCATCAGCAGTACAAAGACAGAAATAAATGAAGCATCTCCTCTTTTTTTTAACGCTTTTTTTCTGTGACCGGTGGAAGCACATGGTGTCTCTGGGGAACGTTTCTGCCCCTTCTCAGCAGCACATTTGGCTGTAGTCATTTGGGGTGGAGGGGGGAATAATGGAGGGGATTATGCATGACGACATTCTTAATAAGAGGAATAAGAAACACAGTCCGTAGTAATGGACGTCCTCAGATTTAACGGTCAATGTTCAAGTTAAAGTCGGTGGGTTAAGTTATGTGCCCGCAGGTTTCAGTGTGGGGAGCTCCACACATGGTCTGGGTAAAACTGGGGAGGGGGTTATCAGGTTAGGTGGTCTCCTTGCCCTGGTTCCCCGTGACGGTCTTGATGGAGCTGAGCGTTCGGTTGAACCAGGTCTTCTTGGCGGCCTGCACCTCGTTCAGGGCCAGACCCAGGTGGTGCTCCAGGTCCTGGTGGAAGACAAGATCAATCAGCAGGCGTCCAAAACAGTCAGTAAAAAACAAAGTAAGCAGATTTTGGTTCACCTTTCAAAGCCCCTGTGTACTTTTTAAAGTATCTTTTTACCACTTTGCCTTTCTTCAATCAGCAACTCCCCCCCCCCCCCAACTCCCTCCTCACTTTAAAAGACACCATTAATCATATGAAATCCTCATCTTTCTCTTTTTGACATCCTTCCTGATGAGCTCATAACAGAGCTTCTGCTGTTGGTCAAAAACCTTCATGATGAATAGTTCACTCTACTCCTGCAATGCTTAAACTCACCACACACTCACTTTCACATTGACTTCTACTGCAACTGTGTTTACATATATTTCTGAAATAGTCCAAAGCTCTCTAATTTAATTAGACTGCCCTTTCTAATTCAGTGAGACGTTAATGCTGCTTCGGATTGATTACAAATGGAATTACGCCTCCAATTTCTTTAACTGTATCTCGTCAATAGCCTACTTCCTGCTGGGATCTCATCCTAGTTTAATACAGTCATGAGAGTAGAATATGAGCTCCCGGTGACACATTGTTTAACATAAAAGCAGGTAGTGTAGATATTAACAAAAGGATGGAAACCAAACATCCTCACATAAAGGACTAACTGGACATCATTTAGAGCCAGCAGTATGGTCTCCATGAAATGTAGTTGGATATGTTCTCTAAGGTTGTCACAGTAGTGTTGTGTCACTGTAACAGTTCATCTGTTTGTGTAGTTGCTTCTATATAATCTAGAATAGTTTCAATGGTAGCTAGTATTATTCAAGTTATATTGCAACTAAATAAATGTGGCATGACTTGCATGGTCCTCGATCATCAGGGGGGTGAAACATTGTGAAAAGGAAATCCTTGTATTTATATGCATTTGTTCCCCGAGTCACATATAGTTATCTCAAACTCTTTGTGTATTGATTTTGGCCGGGCCTGTGTTAGTGTACCTGGAGTTTGCACTCGGCCTCCACCAGCTGCAGCTTGGTCTGGGCCAGCTCCAGCTCCATCTCCCTCAGCTGGATCTTCAGACCCTCCTTCTCCTCATCTTGCTCCCCGGACCCCCCCGCAGACGCTGTGTTCACAGTCCGCACACGGCCTTCTTTGTTGAAAAGACTACTACACTTCTCACAGCCTTCCACTTTGAACTAGAGAGGGATACAATGAAGAGAGCAAATGTTAGAAACAACAAACCCCCCCCCCCCCCCCCCAAAAAAAGAACTGAGGGGTAATAGAACAATGATGGAAAGATAATTTTTTATGACATATTATTTTGTGATTTCTTTATGGCTTACTATAATTTGACCTATTATCATAATAAATTACACAGTAAACTATCACACATTTTTTATAACACAATGTATCACATAAATGTTTTTGTAACAGACCTTACCATATAATACCGTTTTTCTATATGGCCATTTTTGTGGACATACTCTACTGAATTTCTTTTAATGCAGTTTTTACTAAATTACTTGCATTTTCATGACATACTATACTATGCCATGTGTCTTTTTATTTCATTATAGTGTACAGTAATCGATGCCATTTCATTTATATTGTAATATCACAGTACCACAGTACACTCACTACACTCCCCCCTCCCTCCCTCCCTCCCTCCCTCCATCCGCATTTTTTTTTAATGGATTTTAAGCGATTTTTTAAATGGCATTATACATATCAATTTTAATGACATTATTACGTGTGTCTTAAATGAATGAAATGATCTGCAGGGATATATTCTGTGAGGTGGCTGTCTATCTGTGTGCAGTAGAGATTTTACAGTTTGAGAAGAGAGAGGGCTCTGCTTAGTTATTGAAGCATGGCAGCTCATTAGTGTGGCAGCGGTACAGACCAACTACACTTCCCCTCTTCTGTCAGGGCTGCCCTCCTGCTGCCCTTTTCTCAGAGAGATCTTTCTGGGTGCCCTTGTACACTTCACGGTGATCCATTACTGGGCAGAGGGCATTTGTGCAAGCAGTAACAGGAAATCACTGCCTGTGCTGCTAGACAACACCCCATTAAAGTCCTTTCTTTCTTCATTATTTCATGTTAACTCGTTTAAGTATCACTGTGTGAGTGGGACAGTATAACTAAGCTGTACTCAAAGTCCTTCAAGGTGTCAAAATAGTCTCAGACTTATCGAGAATAATATTACTGCGGCACAGACAAGTGATGAGTTTTTGTCTTCCTGCTTCTCTTTCTCATTTTAAGTTTGGCTCATGGCTGCCACGCGTCTGGCAGCGCAGGTTGAGTCTTCTTTAATAGCTTTTACTCCTTCGTGAGCACTGTAGATAGATTAGCACTTTACTTTGCAATAACAGGGAGTATAGTCTACAGCGCGCTGATTCAGGGTCAATGTTTTGTTCCTTAGCAACATCAGTGACTATGCTGGTTGAGATATTCCCCCCGAATTAATAATTCATAACACTAATACATTTAATTTGGATTAAACTGTCATGCGAGTTTAAAGCTGAATGGTAATTATACTTAACGCTTCCAGGCTCGTCACAGCACAAGTGGCTGCGAGCGTTAATGAAGCAGCAGAGAGCTCAAACTGTTTCTGTCTTCACTTTAAATAGAGTGATTGTGCCAGAAGTATGCCAGTGCATCATTTATTCAGTAACATTTTTAATTAACAATGTTGTAAGTTACGGTTATACATAATTCACTGCGCATCACCAGTCCCCTACTTCAGTTATAATTGCGATTGCTGACAGCTTTATGGCATTTGCTGCACCATTATTAGCAAATAATAAAAGAACAGAAAAGGACAAGCAAGATGATACACACTCTCTCACACACACACACACACACACACACACACACACACACACACACACACACACACACACACACACACACACACACACACACACCACACACACACACACACACACACACACACACACACACACACACACACACACCACACACACACACACACACACACACACACACACACACACACACACACACACACACACACACACACACACACACACACACACACACACACACACACACACACACACACACACACACACACACACACACACACACAAACTGCTACATTTCTACAGAAAATGTCCTTGGTTCAATAAACCTTTTGTGAGTCCTTGGCAGCCCTGACAGAACTCGGTGCCAAAATGGCCTCTCTCCCAGCTACAGTCTAAACAAGCATTTCACCCGCCAAGTGCTGGAAGTGAGATGCTTGGCCCCGGCTCCTCGGCCGAACAACCCCTTCTCCCCCAAAAGCTTTGATTTCACTGCCAGGCAAGACAATCAGATGACAACATAGTTCCCCACCTTCCTGAAAACTCAGTTGTACCTGGAGGTAGCAGCTCAATCATCTCTACAATGATTGTCAAGAAAGTCTGATACATCTGGATTCCCCCCCTATACACTTTATCTCATTTACTTCTCACTTAGTAACTGTAAAAGTGGTATTCATTCATACATTTGTCTGTATCAACGCAGCTCTGTTATTACGCTCCACTTATAGTCCAGGCTGTTACTCATCCTCCTGTGTTTGAGTGCACACAGCAGTGTTTCGAGGTGTGTGTGTGTGTGTGTGTGTGTGTGTGTGTGTGTGTGTGTGTAAAATTCACCCTGATTTTCTCCAGCTCCCCTCGGTTGGCCGTCTGTTGTTTCTCCAGTCGTTCACTCAGCTGGGTGCAGATCTATATGAAACAGACACATTGTTCAGCCTGCCATCAACATGATCAACATTTCAGCTGAAGCCCTTTGAATTTCTACTGAGCCGTTCAACATGACACTCGATCGGTGAAACAGCACTGTAAGGCTTTTGTATCTTGTGCTGTGTTAAATAAACACAAAAACATCATAAAAATACAGAAGATTGTTCACACTTTCAGAGCCTTGACGGTTATCTAATCACTACATATATAAACAAAAAATTTCATGAATAGTTATGGATTAGAACTTTAGTTCTTCTAAGGTTCGAGGACAAAAGAAAATGTCATAATCATTTCTATGACTTAAATATATTAAAAAAAATTAATCCCCCTTGCTTTTCAATCCACCCAAAAATATATTTTCTGAAGCTAGAATAGAATAAGAAAAGGAACTGAATGCGAACCGCTTTAAACCCACATGTAAACGGTGAAGTGTATCGTTCCCGTGATATCTGACCTCTCTTGACCGTGCCGTGCCGTAACCTTGTTACTCTCGTTTGTGTATCTTAGTCTGTAAGGCAGAGACTTCATCCTCTTACTCTTAATTCCATTAGTGTGTCGTAAGGTCCCGTGTTTCCAGCAAAGCTCACCAGATACACACACACACACCACACACACACACACACCACACACACACACCACCACACACACACACACACACACACACAACACACACAACACACACACACACCACACACACACACACACACACACACACACACACACACAACACACACACACCACACACACACACCACACACAACACACACACACACACACACACCACACACCACACACACACACACACACACACAAAGTATGCATGCACATCCTTAGTTAAACCCTTTCTCTCCTCCTCCTATACCTATAACCCACAGCTATACACACACACACACACACACACCCACACACACACACACACACCACACACACACACACCACACACACACACACACCACACACACACACACACACACACACACACACACACCACACACACACACACACACCTACACACACAACACACACACACACACACCACACACACACACACAACACACACACACACACACCACACCACACTACACACACAACACCACACACACACACACACACACACACACACAACAACACACACACACACACACACACACACACACACTCTAGCTTGCCGACAAACAGGAAGATCGATGTGACATGAGTCACCCTAACGGGAACATGGGGTCATCCCACCTCTCCTCTGACAGACGATCTATCTCTCTATCTGCTCCTGCTCCTCTCTGCATATCTCTCTGCTTCCCTGTGGCACATACTGTATAACCCTCTCTTCTTCATCCTCCGCCTTTAGGATCAATCTATACATCTCTGTGTGTGACTTCAGCCCAGCAGATATCCATCTCCCTCCTCCTACATGTCTTTTTTATCTTTTCCTGCTGTCAGCCTCTGCTTCATTTGCCCTCAACTAGCGTTACGGAGCCCATTTCTCTACCTTCCCTTCATCGCTGCTGATCACCTCCTCCTCTTGATCTCACAGCTCTTTCTCTGCCCGCTTCCTTTCTTTTAACTAGTGCTACTCCAAGGCAGGCGGCACATCTTTTTATTTTTAAGATTTTACTTGAGCCGTGGGCATTCTGTCTTCAATCAGTTTTCTACTGTACATGGAAAGTTAGGCATTTTCCTGTCTTTAGATATTTTTCTAGTTTGTAGAAGGGATGATGTTTCAGGGTTATGAATGTGAGATCAGATACATGTCAGTCCACACTGCTGAACAATCCACAAGCAAGCTGTCAATTCATAATTTGCTTATTTAAATGTAGGTTGTTTTCTTCATATAAAGCGGGCTCAGTACCCCTGGGCTAATTTAATGTTTTTCCACAAACAATTTCACTCTTATTTATATGAAGTATTTCCACTCTGCTTCAGGTGTAAAATTACTAGCTCGGGTATTTCCTTTTTTTTTCAATAATGCATGCATTCCTATAATTAGCATATTCGGTGTACGCTATTTGAATTGCTTTATAACACTACATGAATTTGGCTTGGAACAAGAGGCGGACAATTAGTTTGCAATTCTCAATAAAACATAATCAGAATATGGCGGTGTGTCCATGGTCATAATCCTATTAAACTGTATGAAATCATATAAATATATCGCTAACAAGGCCTCAGAGACACCAGTTTTGGCTCGTGTCCCTGTCCCTGAGAGCATCTCCTCTCCAGCTCTTCAGCAGGGATTACAATACGCCACTCGACACCGTTTTTAGCTCCACCATCAACAGACGTTTTTCTGTCCTGGTGGGCTGGAGGGGCAATTAGCACACAAAGCTTTTTGGATGGGATCCCGCGAAAAGAAAGCTGCCATTCGCAGCCAGTGAAATAGGAAAACTCTATTTGAAGAATAATTTGAGTTATCTGGGTTGGAAAACAATGCCGGCTATTTTGGGACATTCCTCAACTTGTCAATCCCAGATGATTGAATGCTGCTGTCCTCCTCTGCTCTCTCCTCCACAGACTGTTGTTCATGTTCTCCCCCTCTCCATCTATCACCCCCATATTCCCAGTCACAAAAATAACTGTTTTTGACAAAGTGCCATTTTCACATTGGTGCTGCTCAGTTGCATGCTAGCAATCTGAAAGCTGCTTTGACCTATAATACACACACAAACACACAGATACACAATTATTAACGTTTTCAGATCTGCTGTCAAGTCCAACATGCTGCCAATATTTTTAGACTCAGGTGAAGTTAAGGTCTGTTTCTAAATTAGTCCTCAGGCTATTTCTGTCTTCCTCCACAGGATTGTTGCATAATGTCTGCGCTGATGGTTTTTGATCTGAGTGGATTTATATTTAAGCATTCGGTGACCGGATGAGATCTGAAAGGATGAAATCATCGTAATAGGAACTCGGAGAGACAGGAACTCAAAATATGCCGGCAGGCTAAGTCATCAGAGACTCTGGGTTCAGCTCAGGGACATTATGTTAATTTAGATGTTTCTCCTTCACAAAGTAGATACATGAAAGAATATGGATTGCTCTTGTACTGTTTTTAAATATTTATAGCAATGGTAATGGCTTGATCAGAGCTAAGATCTGAGAAGAAAAGTCAAATAAGGGTTGATACGTCGAGAAGAGGTGCTCAAACGCTGCTCGAACAACCAGATTCAGGATGAGGCACTTAACATGAACCAAAACAGACGAAACGACCTAATAATGAACTGTCAAATAAACTAAAATCCAAAGTAATGTAAATGTATATACAAATAATCTTATGGCGCCACTCACTTGGTGCCCCGTGAGATGTGAGTATGAGTTCTATTTTTATGATAAAAAAATCCTTGGCCTACTTAAAATAAGAAAGGATCAGCACATGAAATATCAGAATAAATATTGAACTATATTCACTGTTTCCTTTATGTTGTCTTTGTGATTTATATGATCTAAGGTGGCCATTACTTGCTGTGATGCACAGATCGCCAACAGCTGGCAGCTTTTTCAAGATTCTCTAAATTACTATTAAGTGTTTAGCCTTTTATCATACATACTTTAAAATGTCCCCAAATCTTTACATTTATAACATGTGGCCGACCAAACTCTACCTCAGACCTTGAGAATGATCTGTTTGTACCTCATCATAAATTACAAGCTACTACTGCTGTCTCACCTTGCACTTGCATCTTTAATTAGAGGAGCGCCACTGTTCTGTGCGTCTTCCAGATCAATGAACAGTTTTCTGCTCATCTACTTTCAATTTAAAAGCTCTGGATAAATTCAATCCAAGCCTCACGTGAGAATAAATGATCTTGCATACTAATTAGTGACTTTCTTGCTGCTGAAAAACAGCAGCAGCTGTACAGAAGTCATCCGCAAAGCCTTGTCCGCACCTATTTCTGTCTCCTAACACCAGCTCCCAGTAGGTTTAAGGATCGATTTAAATATGTTATTAATTATCTTTAAGGCTGTTAATGGCCCAACTCCTTGCTTTATTTCCGACCTTTTACGGTGAATGAACGGCCCCAGGACAAAAATGCTGGCTTTGTTTTTACTAAATTAACTGTCCTTTTTGGTTTTAATGAATTCTTTATTTCCGATATTATTTTATCTCGGTCCTTTTTAATACATTTATTTTACCTGTATTGCTAAGATGAAGTACTCTTATTGTATATTAGCTCTCGTTTCGATGCCTTAACAACAATGACATATGGTATTTAATCCTGGAGTACAAACTATATTTTATCGTAAAGGAATGAACTAAAAAAAGTTTCGAGATATAATAAAGATGTAACACGATCCATGTTGCATAATATATGTTTCTGTGTATATCTAGCTCTCTTTAATGTCATGAGTTTATTTGCTATGTATCATCTTCTCTTCTCAGTTTACATTTCTAACTTGAGTAACTCCTTTTAGGTACATACAGTAGACTAATATCATTATATTTGTTCACTGCATGGTGAGTTACTATGTTAATCTGAACTGTAAATCCCAGTGTTCAAAAACATTTCAAGGAAACTGGAGTGGGTGTGCCACTGTTCAGTTTCACTTCTCTAAAATGTATAAGTGTGAAACAGAAATATGAATCAAACAGAGAGGCTCATAGTACTGGATATGCTAACTGTAAGGAATCTACCCTGTTGCTAGACTTCTTAATTGAAGCATTCAAAGTGATTTCTGTACAGAATTAATAGAGTACAAACCTGCTTATATTCTCCAATGATGGAGCCGTTCTTCTTTATCTCCGATTCAGACTTATCGAGTTCTCGCCTGCACATCTCCTTCAGCTGTGGAAACAAACAAACAGGATCCTGTTAGGCGGTCGGAGGGCAGACAACAAGGACAGAGGCCGAGTCACGACCGTGTCAGTGCCGTGACATGTGAGGAAGACAGAGAAAGGTATAGGCAGACGTGCAGCTCGGGGCAAAGTCACAACCTCAACACACACCTCTGTGTAAGCAATAAATCATTCACTGCTACACCTACACACAAGACGACACACACATTCGGAGGACTGCATTGAACACACATGTTTGTCCTTCACCTCGGAGAGATTGAATTCAAGAAAATCAACAACAAACATCCTTTGACATTGAAGGTTTGGTATCGATAGTAGGAAAAACAGCCTGAAAGGGTTTAGAATATGGTTCTTTCAGCCAGGGTATAACATAGAAAACACAGGCAGAGAGGAAATAGCAACACATCTGTAATATCAGCCATTCCAGTATTTCAATAAATAAATAATAATAACGCGCAGACTCTTGGCTCTGTCCATAACAAATAGGCTGCTCAGTCATATCCTGTCACATCGATATTGCATACTTCTTCTCGTCTCGACCCCAGGACAGGAGAGTCAGGCCGTTTTCACAATAACTCTGTTCATACATTCACATGAGAATTTGTGTTGCAATATCGCTGACGCTTTCCTAGCATTCATAACCCTGTGTGCTCCCTTGAGATTCACAGAAAAACATATATTCAGCTAACGTCTAAAGGGTCGCGACAGAAAGACAAATGTGTGGTTGTTGGCTCTAACCTGGGCAGATTCCTCCTCCAGTCGCCTCTTCTCGTCCTCAGAGTCCACCAGTTTCTGTTTGGTCAGCAGCAACTCTTTATTCAGTGCGTCTGCCTTCTCCTCAGCCTGACACACACACACAACAAAAAAACCTAATGTTAAGAGGTCATTATTACATTACATTACATTACATTAACATTGCATTTAGCTGACGCTTTTTATCCAAAGCGACTTAACAATAAGTACATTCGACCAGGAAGACACAACCTTGAAGAAAACAGAATCATATAAGTACATCATTATAGATACACTTGCGATAAGTTCTTCTTAAGTTGCTACATGTGTGTCTTTTGCACAATTGTTGCCACATTAACACCATACTTGCTTCTTTGAAGGGACAACTCACACTTAAGATGAACATGTACAAACACACACACACAACACACACACACAGCACACCACACACACACACACACACACACACACACACACACACACACACACACACACACACACACACACACCACACACACACACACACACACACACACAAACACACACACACACACACACACACACACACACACACACACACACACCACACACACACACAACACCACACACACACACACACACAACACACACACACACACCACACACACCACACACACACACACACACACACACCACACACACACACACACACACACACACACACTTTGTCTTCAGCTTACGTTGTCGAGGTCTTTCCGCAGGGCTATCTTGCTGCTGACTAGTTCGTGCGCCAAGTCGTCATTCTCCTGCTCCAGACGCATGTTAGCCTCTTGCAGACGACGGTTCTCCCGCTGGACGGAGAGAGAGATTTAAAGACAGAAGGAGAAAAAACCGGAAGAGGGGAGGAGGGGAGAGATGTGTGTGAGGAGAAAAAGTGGACAGGAAAACAAAAGAGCATATGAACGGAAATAAGGAAGGGAACATGAAAGAGGAAGGAGAGTGGAGAGACGGGGAAAAAGAGTTACTCGTGAGAATTTGCAAATGAATGTTTAAGCAGCTCCTCCTGTCTGAATGCAGCAAAATAAAGACTGTGGGTGTAAAAGTGATCAGGTGAGAGCGTGATTACCCAGTACGAGTTGTATGTAATGTTTAAAAGAGCATAACCTGCTTGTACATCATTAACAGCGACAGAGAGATGGATTAAAAACATATTTTACAAGAGATGACAAGCATAAGATTTAACAGGATAAAGTCCACTTTATACAACAATCTGGAGTGTTCATACCTTCAATAAAATGAACACTAAGACTAAAATAATTATCAAATCTTACCAGATGTTGCAAATGTGAAAGACGCCACACATCATAAAATGATAAATTATGATAAATGACACTGACTCAAATGTAAACAAACAGGGAGAATACGGAGCAGATTAGCGATTGTGTTATTCTGAAATATGCTCAGAGGAAAATGACAATATGTCTGAACCAACCTGACAGCAGTCGACTTTATCAAGCTGTGGCTTAATGGGGGATTGTATCTCCATAAAGGGCAATCATTTAAACATCTTGAGATATCTTGTTTGTCATTCTAGAAAAAATTAACTTTGTGAATGGTTCGTTGCCAGAATTATCATGAGCAAACAAAGCACAATTGATGATCTTGCACTGTGTACAACCAGCCCGACTTATGGCATGTACAATAAATGGCTTTCTGGGCGCCATGTCGTTTTTCTTTACCGAACAAGGACTGTCAAGGTCTGCAGTGAAATAATTATTGATTCTGTCCAGTGGAAAATCTGTCAGAATATAGTTTTAGTTATAACACTATGTGGTAGCAACATACAGTATAGTATTGTTCCAGAGGTGTGAGATCGAATGTAATACTTGAGATACTCAAATATAATTATAAATTCAGAAAACTAAGTTATTGCAATAAGGAGTAAGGATAAAAGTATATAAGGGTTAGAATTGCATGTTTTTTTAAAAAGCGGATACAGCTTTAAATCAAATGTGTGTTCATTTAATTGAGGATTGTAATTATTTGTAGGTTTTCGGTGTGCAAAGATGAATATGTTCTGCTCATGTGTACCTCGTATCTCTCAATGGGGGCCTCCTGCTGCTCCTGCTGCTCCCTCAAGGTGTGGTACTCCTTCTCAAACTTCTTCAGCTTTTTCTGGCTGATCTGTTGGGCAGTGGAGGCAGAAAAATAAACGTTTTAAACTCATCAAATATGTCACACGCACATGAAGAATAACACTTATTAACACATGATGAAAAATATGAATATAAATTAGCCCAATAGTCTTTGGCTCGTGGACCAAAGGGAGCTGCCAGGGAAGAGTCTTTCTCATCTTGTGTAAATAAGATTGATAATCTCTGTTGGACTGTGATGGTCTTTATTTCAGCTCAGCATTTGAATAGGATGCAATGGAATAAATTAAGAGATTACAGGCCCAATTCGACACTGTAATTATTTTCTGAGAAGCCGGTACATTAGGATATCACTGTCAACACAATCGAGTAACTCATGCCACCTAACTGATTTGTTCGATTTCCAAAAGGGTTTTTAATAGTTCAACTTCTAGAGCACACATTTTAAAATGATGCTGTAACACCAAACACGGGCTGGATGTTCCTTGAAGACAGCATATATGTGTTTCACGTCTGATTAGGATAACATTTTACTTTCTAATAATAAATTACATTATATAATCAATCACACTTGTCTGTTCACCTAAACATCTCTTGTTAACTATACAGCAGTTGCAAAAAGAGCAGAATCAAAGGAACTGTAAACAAGCTTCTCCACGCAGGTAAAACTCAATTGCATCAGCTCACACTATTATCACGTTGTTGATGAACAGATGTCAGGTGTTGTGAAGCGCCTCTGTTCTCCCAAAACAGATTCTCATTTAAATACACTTACAATCACAGTCATCCCTACAGATGCAAACAAAGGCAATCTCAAACAGACCTTTAACTGCCGAGCTGCTGCCTTACATGGGGCTTTCTAAAAGAGATAGCTACCATACAATAAACACGGTGTGCCTGATTTTTTAACATGAAAAAGACACCCGTTTAGATTTTCTTTGGATTTTAATCTAATCTGATAACATCTGCAACATTGATGCACCATTACTGTTTGCATGCAGGCCTGGATATGTTACAAACGTAGGTTATCTATGACAGTGGTTCTCAACTGGTGGGTCGCGGACCCGTTTTGAGTGGGTCGCGGATGGGTGAGTGAAAGAAAACATAGAATAACGCTGTGCATGCAGTAGGCGTTGGACTGGAAGTACCGGAGACCATAAACGGTTTTGAAAACTTTTGTCACGTAGTGATCATCTTCTCAATAAAACATCTTTGCTGATGTTTTTCGAGTCTTCTGGCCAATCAGAATCAAGATTGTTGCCGGAAGTCCCCACGGAGAATAACTTTGCGGTAGAACTATTCTTTATACATCCATGGGTATAACTTCGGATAAAAATGAACACGTAATGAAATATGACCCCCAGTTTGATGATTGACAGGTCACAGAACAATGGGAGCTGTCTACCCTTACCCACAATTTAAAGTAATTCACACAAACTATCTCCTCTTTGCTCTTCTCTCTGTGAGGAGCAGCAAGCTGTCAGAACAAAGTGAAAAACAAACAATGGCATAAAATATTATTAATATGTCGGGTTGTAATAGATTTATTTATTTTCTTCTCAGAGTGTACCAGAATGCGTAGTTTATTTGTTAGTATTTCTAAAGATCTCCTGGGGAAGAATCCTCCCAGACCCCCTACATGCAGCTCATCTTTGATTCCATCATCTCATTAAACCTTTTTAAAAGCATACTTTAGTTCTGTGAAGGGATATAAGGGATATATGCACTGTACTTCACTTGAATTAATATTGTATGCTGAAAAGCGTATATATTATAGCACGATTTTTTGTTAAATAGATTTGAGTGGTTCAAAATTTCGGGGCGCGATTTATTGACAAAGGAAAAAGTGGGTCCCGAGGCCTGACCAGTTGAGAACCACTGACTGACATTATTTCAGATGGTCCAAATCCTCCTTTCAACTTATGATGATGGCAGAACTGGGACAGAATGATCCAAATGTCCTGTTCTAAGTGTGTCCCTGAACGTGTGTGTGCACGAACATTGGATACAGACAAAAGGAAGAAAAAGTACATGAGGTCGTGAGGGCAGGAGAGGCCTCATCTATGTTCTTTTTTTGTTTTCCTCTTTTCTTTTGCAGAGACATACAGCTGGGTCCGCAGAAGTTACCTCTTACAAAAGCAATTAGGAACATAAAGCAACTTTGGTTCTGTAAAACAGAGCCATAATGTATACACATTACATATTTCCCATCTTACACGTCTTGGATCAATTGTAAATTGCCTAATTACCTGTGCCGTACCATCCGGATAGTTTTCTTAAAGTGCACTGCAGGAGGCATTTTATAACACCTCAGACTCTCTTTTATGTGATGTGCTTATTATTCTCTGCTCTACTAAACCTTGAAAAACCTTTATAAACTTTCTTCATCTGGAGAATTGTTGACTAATGAGAAAAAGCTACTGTAGGCATGCATTTGAACTAGAGAGAAAGTACATGGCTATTAGGTAGACATACAAATATGGAAACTAGCACAGAGGTAAATAAAAGAACTGCATGCATTCATGATTTACATTTAAATTCCCTGGGTAATTTGCATTTATTAGCTTTAGAAGTCAAAAGGTTGGCAGACAAGAAGAGAAAAAGGTGTAACAACTACACAGAGACAAAATGACTGACCCTAGTTTGACCCTGAGGTTGTCTCATGAATACATTTTCTGACCTGACCATAGTTACCAACTGTTTGTCACATATTCACTTCAAAATTATTGAAATTATAATGACCCTTGACCACAAATACTACGTAGTTTAAAGGGTCTTTCCTATAAAAAATAACTACTGGAACTCGCACAGGCACGAAAAATCCTCTATTGTTTTCTTTTTCCACCTCATGGGATAGGATCACAAAAATCCTGCATTTACAGCCCTATGCTTTCTCCACTGTCAGAGTGAAAAGGAATTGAATGAGGGCGAAGGACCAACCACAACCTCTATTAAATAAAAAATAATAATATTTATTAACTCATACAAAATCCAGAGCTAGATCATTTTAAAGATAATAATCCAACATTTAAATCACTGCCTAAATGCCCTAGAAATCTGAGCTAAAAGTTAGATCACCTGGCAGTGCAGAAAGATCAGTGCTCCAATCAGAAGGCAGTGTCATCGGTGAATGAGGACACCAGTAAACTGATCAGGTAATCCTCTATAGTGACATCCAAGCTTCAGATTAGCCTATACCTTGATTCAGATTTAATTTCAAACTCCGCCATTGTCGTGCTCTCTGGGGTCAAATAAGTTTTACTAATTTTCTCTTGCCACAAAATGTCCTGATAATAACTTCAGCTTGCAGAAAACATAAGGCAATGTGCATCTAGATCCCTATATGCAGGTATTTCGTAGAAATGGCTTTAAAGCAACCCTTAAAACACCACAAATTATAATAATTACATCAACCAAATAGTCAAAACAAAACCAACACTTCATGCATAGAAATGTTTGTATACTCGCTTCCATCTGAGAGGCCTCGTCCGCCCAAAATGATTTATGTTCAGAACTGATGCCTCGAAAATGAGTCCAGTTGCCTCTGATTTAGTTCCACTATGTTTTTGATGGATAATCTGCTCGTGTTATCTCTCTCTGTTGCCCACCTGTCTAAATGAGAAATAAGCCAAACATATCTCCATGCTGGCTCCTTTACAGAGTTTGAGCTAATGAATATCTCTGCCAAAGTTACCTCTAAACTAGGACAGGTTGTTGAAAACAGGTCAGGACGCAGGTGTGTGTGTGTGTATATGTGTGGTTTTAAGAGATACACAGGAAGAGAGGTGAATTTAATTTGTAGAACTTGATTCAAGGTTCAAAAGTGACCCCTAGTGGTATTTAAGATGTACTGCTGGACTATATCGAGGTTGTTTCCATTCATTCAGTGAAATACAAACCATCTTGTTTATCTGATCAGCAAACATACTGTTCTCTGTTTCAAATATTTTGCATTCCTGGACATTTTGAAGACCATTAGCTTTGAAAATGTGGTTATCAAGAAGACTTAGAAACTGAATAATATGTGAAGCTGATCCTGGGTCTTGTGCAGTATAAGGGATGAAAGGCTGAACAGACACAGTGTTAAAAGGAAGCACTCTATTGGCTTTTACTCTTAACTCACCTTCATGCCACAGGCCAGCTCCATCAGCTTCTTCGCGTTTTCCTCAGAGCGATATCTCTTCGGAACTGGGACACGAAAGAATTTGAGTGCACCCTCGAAGTCTGTTTGGATCAGATCGTCTTTAGATGTCTGAGGAAAATAAGGATAGGAACACAGGAGTTAAAGAAAACGCTTACAGAACATGGCTCAGCCTGTTGGATGTATGTTTTTTTACTTTTTTGTAACATGAAGCAAAATGATCCTCACTTAAAGACAAATATATGATAAATAACAGGCCGTTGGTCAACTAGCTTTAGTCTGCAAACCAGAATAAGATATAAGTTGATATTTTTTAAACTCACAATGGGGGGACACTACACATGTAACTGCACCTGCTAACCGTGCGGATGTGAAAATTAACTTTTGGCACATGCTCTGCCTTTCTTTTTCTTCTCAGAGCTGTGGTTGCCAGAGTTGCTGTGTGTGTGTGTGTGTGTGTGTGTGTGTGTGTGTGTGTGTGTGTGTGTGTGTTTTCAATTTGTGTAAGCTTACCTTCAGAAGTGCCAGGGCTACATTGAAGATCACACTGATGCCCTGGAAAAAAAAAAGACACAATTGTCATGGTTTGTTCAGGAATGTAGTTACTTTTGCTTCAACAAAAAATATCATAAAACATGGGTTTAACAGTTGCAGAATATATGTGCAAAATAATGCATAATGTATAGGATTCCTGTGTAATGATATATTAAGAAATGATATTCGCCATCAATGGAAACAAAACTAATGACGAAAGCAGATTCATTAAAATAAAAAGAGAACGATCTAAACAACATACAGCACATAATACCACTTGTTGTTTTTCTTGCTGTTAATAATATTTATTTTCCAGCTTGGCCTTTTAAAATGTGCACTCTCTTACTCATCCTAGGAGATGATTCATCAGCGCTGTCCGACTGTATGGGAAGTTGAAAAACTACAAACTTGGATTTGGCTGGCTAACTAAAAGACATCCAGAGAAACTCCAGTTGCCTTGGCTTGGACCAGCATGCTGAAAGGTCAAACTTCCACTTAGTGTCTCTGTACTTGGGTCTGTCCATCATATCTTATATTTTGGAACACTCCCCGGTTTCCTGCTGTTGCGATGCATCGTTACAGCATCATTGCAAGATTCATTCATCAGAATATTAATGGAGCGTGGTCGTCTCTAGATCTAGAGCTTTACATTCAGGCCAATAAAACAGCCTTGTCTCATCAGTCAGAGTACTCTCAGAGGCCATCGAGTGGATACACTTTTTACTGAATTTGGCCTCATTGCAAGCTCTGCAAGAAGAGTGTTCATTGTTCCAAACTTCTGATGTTATTATTGTTAGCAGAAGATATCTCGAGTTTCATCACAACACAATATTATACTGATTTGTTGGTGACCAATATGTTATTTTCTGATATCACAAAGTCTGATTCTGATTCAATTCAACTCATAAGGAGGTGAGCTACTGACTCAGAATTGCCATGGGAATTGTAAAGGTGATCGTAAAGATGATGATATGTGTTTATGTTTTCAGTTTGCGACTGACGATCATTGATTCAACAACAATTCAGATCTGTCAGATGTTAAACCCATAATTTAATAATTATTGAATTGACTTTTGAAGGCTTTTATCCCTCGAATTTTCCAGAGTTAATAAATGACATATAACTGCTAGTTCATATTTTATGTAGCATGTGTGAATTGCAGCCATGAAAGTTGTGTTTGTGTCTTTGTATTACCAACCTCACACAGTAGCAGGTCGATGATATGGAAGACCATGTAAAGAGGGAACTTGGCTGTGAAGAGGGTGAGGAACCACTGAGAGGCGTACATGTGAGCCTCCAGACCCACATTCAGGAAGTGGTTGTACAGGTCTGGTAAATATTCCTGTTTAAGACAGAGAGGAAGCAAATGGCAGAATGAGGAGGGAGAAGATACATGAAGGGACAGGGGCAAAGAGAGTTAGACAAAAAAGAAAAAGGAGTGAGGTACATCAACCAATTCCATGATATGCATTTTTAAAAAAGCATTTCAAATGTGCAAATAACACACACATACCTGCATGAGTCTCTCAAGCTGGAAGAACTTGCAATGCAGATCTTCAAAGTTCTGTTTGAAAAGGTCCCTGAGCCCGTAATCAAACATGATCTTGACCAGCACACTGAACGCTTGCTCCTCTGGCATCTGAAGAAGAAGACCAAAAGATTTAGTAATAAGTACCTCATGCCAATGTACAGTATATACCATATACTGGTATATACTTGTGTTTTTAAATGAGGCTAATACAGCATTTTCCTTATATTTCAGCTTTCCCATATAACAGTACCTGAAGTTGTTCAATAACTAATTAAAAAGTAGTTTAATAATAACATCTCCCCTGGTACATCAGCTTCAAAAAGACCTGTTCTCAGTCTGTCCACTAAGTGGCATTGTTGCCTTTTTCCTGAACTGCAGGAGTCTTTTAGGGAAGCCACTCTAGCTTGGCAGAATAAACACATATTATACATTATTCATTAATGACATTATTCTTTAAAATGTCAGTTCCCGCAGACACACAGTAACAATACATCATGCTTATAAATTCTGACAAGACACGCAGAATAAGCCAGATTGATGCCTCCAGCATTGCAGAATGTCAAAAAGACACAGATGTAAAATGAACAGAACATAGTCCCTCACAGCTATTTAAAGAGGATTGAATGCATAGGATTTGAGCTGGACCCGACTGATATGTGAACTCACGTGCAGCAACAGCACAGCAGCCAGGAAGGACTGTCCCTGGCAGTAGCCGATCTCCTCATCGTACACAGAGTAAGCCTGAAGGAGAGGACAGAGGTGTAAAGTTAAACCACAGGAGAATATTGAGGGGAAAGAAAAGAAAACCTGCTGTATAATAGATGTTAGACCAAATGTTGCCGTCAGCTTGCAAATGAACAGATTCTTATCTAACATTTATACAGGCGCATTAAACCGTTTTTATGAATTTAACACAGAATCAAATGATGAAATGTAATGAGAATGAAAAGATAAAGGGCCTCAATAAAAACGTTGTGGGTAATTTAAACAAAAATAACAATTATTTTCTTGGGAGATGGCAAGCCAGTCCAGGGCAAGTTCAGTATAAGTGAATACTTGTTTTTGACTGATAGTGAGAGAGATGGCTCAAGCTACATGGAAGCTGTATACAGTTTTAAATGTAACAGAAACAAATAAACAGAGGTTGAGAACTAAAAAAATAACCCAAGCATCAGATCAGTTGGATATCATTGGTTTTGAATATTACATGTTTTGCTTCACAGCAGACTTGCACTTGAATATTATTGTAAAAGCTGATTTAGAGTAATATCTAGTTGTTTGTATCCCCTTTTAACAATCTGAAATTGTTGAACACTGGCACTGAATGCTATATCACCCTATTGTGCAGTGCCCTAGACATACATAGGTGAAGGATCTGAAGGGATGTACAAAAAAACTAAAAACATAACCGTGACTCTGTTAAAAAGACAAATAGAAATGAAAGAAATAAGAGAGGGAAAGGGAAGAGTTGCAGAGCGATATGAGTGTAGAGGAAATAGAGGACATTTGAGGGGAGGGAGCAAGGAAGAGAGCTTGTAAAAAAAGGCTGTAGTGGCCTACTGAGCTACAAACGCAAAAAAAAGAGAGCAAGTCAAAGTGTGGATCAATCCACACGCAGAGGGAAGGGAGGGCCCGCTGAATTATTCACACACACCTGAGGAGGTACTTGTCTGGGAAAGAGATTGATGCCCTCACATGATTTATACATAATGAATGAAATGAGAAGTGTGAAGAAAGGCCGTTCATTTAGGATTGTGAAACTATAGGTTTAAATGTGTGTGTGCATTTGTCAACGTGAGACAGAAAGCACCGGCACTTTACGATCAATAAGTATTTTGTGACAAAATGCCAGGTCTCTGTTTATTTGTGTGTGCTCTGCTCAGCTGTGCAGCAAGATTGATGTCAGTAAAGTCTAGTGTGGATGTGTGTGTGTGTTTTCTTCAAAAATGGGTTTCATTTCTAGACGAGCATTGGCTGTTTTGAACTCGCTGAGCCCAGAGACTCAGTGGCTGTTCAGTAAATCCATTAAGAGTTTCCTTGAGCTCTGACAACTCTCACTACTGCTCTGCAAACTTTGTCATCAGAATGTAAAACAAGACATTTAGATGACATGACACCGTTTCCAGGGGAACATTTGATTCTATTTAAGATCAAGATTGCTATAATTGGTTATAGTAATCAACTCTAGTGCTATTAAAAAAGGCCAATTATTAGTAATCATGGCCCAAAAAATGTCACCCCAAAAAACATAACAGAGGTTGTACGGTATATGATCACTATGTATGTATGTATGTATAGTTTGTCACTATGATGGATTTGGTTCAAGACATGTTATTTATGTTGCTATTACTGGCTGGTTTTTGTTTTTTAATATTTTACAGATGTATTTTGAGTTGCACTTCTGTATTGTGAGTGTTTCACAAAATGACTTACTTTAAATCTTAAATAGATGATTGTCTAAGTCAAGTTTCAGAAAAGACTGATATTAAAATGTAGGCATTTGAATCTAAATGGAAATGCAGTCTATGTGGATCAGAGTGAAGTTCAGAGGAAGGGAACACATGCTTGTTTTTGCAGTCAGATGTAGCTCTTGGTGATCTTTTAGCATAGCTTTGATCCACATGTATACTATATTTCTATCCATACTTGCCCTGTGATGACTTAACAAACATATTTAAATATCCCATTCGAGTTTGTGTGACCCACCTTGCAGATCTTGTAGAGGGAGTCTTGTCCATCTCCTCCAGTGTCTTTGAAGTAGTCGTGAGCTGGGAATGTCCTGTTGATGTCCCTGGTGATGGCACTGTCCTGGGGGGACTCCTAACAATGACACAAAGGACATTGGGGTGTCACAGATAGGGAGATTCAGCTACAAAAGAATCCACAAGAAGTTACTGTGAAAAATATACCAGAGAGGCCCAGCAGTGGTCAGTGTTCCTTAGTATGTGCTGGCAACACATTGTAAGGATTTATCGTCTGAGTCGAGATGAATTACTAGTAGCACAGGGTGTTCTCTCCGACAGTACAGACTGTACTTCATCTCTCCCTGTATCTATATGTGTCATTTCTGTCCTTTTTTAGTTCTAAAGTAAAACTTGAAATGAACGTGTTATGTTGCCAAAGCAAAGATAAAGTCGAAGAAAGATAAAGGAGCGCTGAGAAGCTGTATACAAATAACATTAAAGGGAAACTAATCAATGACATAATATGAATGTGCCCTAATGCACATCACTATTTGCACTCAGTTCTGGGAACATCTCTGAAACTGTTCCCCTTATATCAACATGGTCTTTTGATGGAAAAATAACCAGAGCTATCTGAACCATAACTTATGGGATCAAATGTTTTGTTTTGCTATGCATGTGTACTAAGATCCTGTGCCTTATCAGCTAGCATGGCTAAATACATACGTCAGGATATATTGATACAAGTGTAGAGATGTGACCCTGTCTTCATACAGAACATACACAAGCCTGAGGCAATGTATATCTATGGGATATCCCTCCACTGTGATGACAAAACACAACACAGTGGAATAACCACCAACACAGATCAGTGAATTATCTGCAAGCTGAGATCAATCATCTCTAATTCCATCACTGATGCGCAGTGTATTTGAAGCATCTGAAAACTACTGCAAGACACGTATATATATATATATATATATATATATATATATATATATAAATACACGTATAAAGATGTCAGTATGTGTATGTGAAGTGGCTCATGCAGACAAAAACGGGGCATACATTTCCACTCCAAGACCACTCCACCACACCCTGTATAGTTACTGTGTGTGTGTGTGTGTGTGTGTGTGTGTGTGTGTGTGTGAGTAATGTTTTTTGTTTGAGAACATTTGGTCAGCATGCAATCTGTTCCTCTGATTTGTATCTATATTTGGTATTTTGCTGTACATTAAGACTTACTAAAACAATTTCTAAATGTACTACAGCTGACATTATGATTTGATTAATCGATTAGTTGCAATTAACCAAAACCATCAAAAACAATGAGAAATGTTACTTCTCTGGTACTGCGTCCAGTGTGAAGAGCTGCTCATTACTCTGGGCCACAGTCTCTCAGTAATGATAAGGATCCATGTTAAACAAGCACCACTTAGCCATACTTATCTGAAGTGCTGAGAGCATGTACAAAGACCTCTGGCATAATAGCCAATTAGCTTCCCTTCTGTCTGTCTGTTCATTCAGTTAAAGCGAGGTTTGGTAGAGGGTAGCGTGAGAGGGCAGAGAAAACATGTCCACTGTATAGGAAGCGTGACAGCAAACTCCAGCCATTACGAGAAAGAGAGAATGGGAGAAGATAAGTATCTCTGAGGAAATGTATATCAGAATCAAAATAAGAAAACCTTTATTAGTCCCATTAGGAAATGTATAAAGAACACAGTTGATGACAGAGATAATAACATACATATGAATTAAGCTTTAAGTTATATTCAAACACATGAAAATCAAGTATAGGCAGTTTATGTTTGTCATTGTTTTTCGGCTTTAGAAAATGTAGTCTGTGACAGGAGACTACATTTTAGAGAGAGGATGTTTCTATTGTCTGTACTACAAATCATTTCATATGGGGAAAGCTTGATAAAATGGAGGGAAAAGTAGCTATTCCTACACTACGAAGTAAAACAAGAAGACAGACTTGTCAAATGGAGAGTCTGACATTAATTGTTTAATGACATCCCATTAAAGGAATATGCCTAAAGTTAAAGTTATGTTTTTTAATTAATGTTGATATTACAATACAAGACTTAATGGTTATTGCGGTGAAGAGACATGTCATGCTGAGCCCCAAGCTATCAGTCTAAAAAAAGTTCCCTCTATTTTCATTATATTCAACCTAAAATATGGTGGCAGATACGCTAGCCCAAAAAACAAACTAACCGAACAACCAATTTTGATGCGTCAAAGCACGGTTTACTGTTAATGATACGTAACTGTCAAGAGTAGTACAGCAGCTAAATCAAAGAACACCTATAAACTGATTGCAGGTCAAGGAACAAAAAATTGTCTTCTTACAGAGATACAATAAGAAAGTAGTCTTTACTGTGGGGGAAACCAAAAATGGCAGAGCAAGTGTGTGTGCGTTAGTGTGTGTGTTTCTAAAGCTAGGAATAAAGTACCGGTGCAGGGCTTCCGTGGGAAGGCTGAGTAGCTAGCCCTCCATTGTTTATGTCCCTGATTTTCTCTGACTCAACACAATAGCTTGACATGTCATTCTGTTATTCTTACTTTGCTCCTAAAGGACCCCGCTGAGATGCCAAGAGAACACGGGGTGATATTTATCAAGCTCGATACAAACCTCCCCAACACACCAGCCTGAGTGATGTACTTTGATTTTATCACTTAATTCAACCTTAAATTATAGAAGAAATAGCGAATGTGACAGTAACAAATGCTTTGTAATGAATAATTAAGTACATCCTTGCCAGATGGTGTCACCAAAAACAATTTTGAGCTGTTATTTTAGTAAAGAAAGTACAAATTATATTAATTCAGTCATTTCTTCAGTCTGTCCTCGAGAATAATTTGCAACGGACGGAGCTCCAGCTACCCATAGAGCCGCTCTTTACCTAAACGTCATATATCATTAAATCTTAATCGTCTGTCTCATGCCCTACTTTTTGAGCCATTTGCGAGCTGGTATGCTGCTCCATCACAAGGAGAGCATGCAGAATATGTTCCTGATCAGGACAGGGCTCAGAGAGGAAGACGTAATGTAAATTGTAATGACAACAGCACCTGCTACACACAATGACAAAACTACAATGGCCTGCATTCTCTCATGGTAGTACTTTCCAATCCAGGTCACCAACAGTTCCCACAGCAGCTTCGTCAGCACGCAAATTCAGCATAAAAACCGCCTGCACAAATATGGTGCTGCTATAATACAGTTACTGCAGGTTAACATTGAAACAATTTATTCTTATCTGTACCGATACAGAAAAACCTTTTGGCAATAATTGGAAATTCTGGGTAAATGCAGTGCTTTTCTTAAGAACAACACTACTTGATCTTCAGCCAGCTGTGTTTAGCCAAGCATTCCCCCTCACTAAATATAACTGTGCAAAAGCATGTTTGTTAACGTACTTCAGTCGAGGTTACTTATGGCAATTCACCTGAGGGAGGCTAGAGAATCTGATAATAAAAGAAAATGGTGCCTAATACCTGTGTTTGTAGCAAGAGGAAGAAGTACGTTTGAATACATTGACATAACATTACATTTATTTTCTCAGTACAGATACACAATATGTACATCTTATAATTTCATATAGGCTTGTCACCTACAAAGGATCATGTAATTAGAAATTTTTTCATAGAGACAGCAACATATAACCTTTGCATTACCCAAACATTCTCCAACTATAAAAAGCATACATTTTACAAAAACCTTACAAATGCAACACCCCTGAAGCATGACACATGATATGGTTTATCATCTAACAGAGTAATGGCTTAACTTTCTCAATCTGAAATGTACAAAAGCTCCATTGTTGTGAGCATTACCAGTGTGGAGGAAAAACACAAAGGGACATTTCTGCATCTTTTGGATATTTCCAGAACAGGATTTTGTTACAGTGGTCAGTTTGTCTTAATGTGATAATAATCTGTTACACAGAACAGCTGGGTCATGAGTCAGACTTTAGTGGGGGTAATCTGTGGCCTATTTAGAGCCTTACAAAAACACAAAGAAAAAAATGTCCAATACTAATTTAAAAATAAGATAAGAAAATACAGTTTTGTGGGAATGTGTGTTAAAGTGCACTATAAGAGTGAGACTGTGGACCCAGTTCAGGGTAATGGTCTAAGATACAATAAACAACCAGCGTTCAGTTAGTTTAAATCATGGTGTTGGTAATTAAATAAGATATTTTTCTGAGAGAACAACATGTTCTTGATACAAATGTGCACCTCGAATCGGATTTCATAGTTAAGGAGTGTGCTTGTTCCTCAGACAGATGCACATCTGGGTAGCCTGAGTGGAACTGCAACTAAAGCTGTTTGCAAACCGATACGATGCCAGAAGAGGAAGATTAAGAAGCAGCAGCAATCCTCAAACTTTTAAAGGGCCTACAATTAAAATAAACAACAGTACATAATATAAGGACTCTGAAAACACAATAATGGATAATTATATTTATACTTTCAAACCTGAAAAACCCTATCTGCAGATGGTGTTCATGTTATCTACTGAGTATCACTGATAATTGGTAGTACGCACTCACTCATAGTTGCTCCCTATCATGACTATTTTCTCTATTTAATCTCTAATCCTACCCAACATTGCACTGAAACTTGACACAGCCATTACCAGAGTGTTGTTCCCGTGAGAGCCGATTGTTTTCCCACAGGAGAAAGGGAATGCGTGTGTGTGAAGGCTAATGCTGCATGTTCTGGCACAAGTGTTTCTCGAGACCCTTTGCCCTACATCTTGCACATTTCTTGGGTATTGTACCATTAACAGCTGTGGGAAATTATACATCTTTAGTGGTGAACCTCATATTCAAAGTAATCTGTTTGTACAATAGTTCAACATCTTAGTAGAAATTGTCCAAGTAAAATAAAGTGTATCTAAATAAAGACACAGCTTCAATTATTATAACAATACTCTACTAAACCTACTCCACAACATCCGCATGTTCGACCTCAATTTTACAAAAATTAATTTCTGTAGTTTCACAATCAAGACATTCAATACGCCATTTCTGTACATGCTTTTTTGCACACACCTTTTCTGAACAAAAGTGATACAAATAAGAATAATTACAATACGTAGCAATGCTTCACAGGTGACAGCCA